GCGCATGATGTAGAACGGCTTGTTAGGTAAACGGCGCGTCAGTGCAGTGTTCGGTACGGGTTCTCTTTCTTACAACGCCTCGAGAGTTGAGAACTTGGCAAGGCGCACACGTCCAAGATTATTCCAAACTCGATTGTGACTCCCGGTTTATCTCACTCCTGTTTCTTGTTCCCGGTGATTTCCGTTCGCGTTGTTGTTGGTAATTTACCAGGTACACCGACGGGATCATCCGCGCGTGGCACGTGGCCGGCAGCCTCTAAGCGACGTCATGCCCATCTGCATGACGTTCGATATTAGAGCGTGCTAGAGCTTTGAGACCTCGAGAGTTGATGGGCGTCTGGATAGGAGGGTAGGGGGCAGGGGGGCGTTGTTGCTCATACCATATGCGTGAGGCTTGTTGGTGTGGATCGATCAATTGATCTCCCCATTTTATCCCTTCCTCTCTCCTCTTCTTCGGAGGCTTGGGTGCCCTTTTTTGTTTCGTGAGCGGCAGCTGTTGCCGCGGCATCTAGACTCGTGATGGCCTGGTCCGCTGCTTTGCTGGTGGCGTGCACGTCCGCTTCGCCTTCCTACCGCACGGATTTGCAGCCACTGCGCTGACACCCAGGGACTTGCGCGTTGGTTGGCTCTCCCCGATGGGTCGTTCGTGTGCAGCATTCGCGCAAGTACATCCATTCATTCTCACGTGCGAAAGCTAGCATGGGTACACCTGAAAAATAGAAAATGCCATCCGAGAACATCAAAGACAGCCCGTAGCAATAGTGACGATGCGCACGCACGTCAGTAGACCTGTTTTTATATGCCGCCGTGCACAGACGTCCAGTGCCACGAGAACACACCCGACTGGACGAAAACTCAATTTGTTGTGTCTGAGTTATTCTCCGAGTTGTAGCCACTCTTTTTCGTGTGAGACCCTCTAATATTTACTACTGTGCGAATCTGACAGTGTTCTCACTACTCTCGACAACCCAGAGAAAATGATGCACCAATAACCGGAACAAGACAACTCTCCGTGTATCTACATAGCTAGTGACGGCAGCAACACAGCAGTGGAGGCAGACAGAGACGCGGAGAGACCCTACCTAAGAGGAGATTTTTTATTGCGGTACCCCGCATAATATATATAACCCGTCACAATAAACAGGTCCTGTCCGAAGGTCCCCCTCGAGGGCCTCGCCTCAACAAATGATCGAAGAACCTCGCCGTGCTCGGTCCTTTCGTGCAACGGAGGATTAACGCGACACTGCCTGCTGCCTGGACCGTGGAGATAGACCGGGCGCCCCGTTGAATTTCCTCTCTCCCGAATCGCGAAACCGCGGAACCCAAAGGAGACACGGCTCAACCGCCCAAGGCAGAGATCTGCGCCACCCGGTCTCGGGTAACCGTTTGTGAACATACTTACACACCTGTTCCTCCCGTAGTAGCAGCAGCTGTGGTCAGGACCGGCTACAAACATGGTGGTGAGTTGAGCTTCCTGCGAAGCAAGCAACGGTAACATAACCAAACGCAAGGGATGTTTGCATGCTTGTGGTGAAGTGTGTACGTAGGAGTCTCATATGTTCACATTCCGCAACAGACAAACACACGCAGCGTAGGTGCGCCCACCTTCAGCGATGCTCGAGATTGACCGAACGACGGAAAGACTGTTGTCTCGACCAGGCCTCCTCGCCCCACCGCCTTCTGTCGGGTGGACGCATTCGGTGCGTGTCTATCGTCTCCCTTGAGTGCCCTCCGTGTTGCCTTCTTTTCTCGCGCTGCTGTGGTGTCTGCTTTGTTGTTGCTCCCATCCCGCCGCGTTTTTCCCAGACATGCAAGGAGCACGGGTGCAGCAAGGTTGGCTCATTCGGGGTGCAAGGCACCCGGACGGCAGAATACTGCGCGACCCACGCTAAAGACGGGATGCTCAATGTCATCAGCAAGAGGTGTGACCACCCGGGTTGCTCCAAGCACCCTTCGTACGGCCACAAGGGATCGAAAAAGGCGGAGTTCTGTGTCGCGCACGCTGCCAAGGATATGGTGGACGTGTGCAGCAAGAGGTATGTTTGCAGCCGTACCGCGTACTTTTCGAGGTTACACTTCCTTGAAAGTGTATTAACTTCAGGAAATGAGACAACGCCCGTACCAGAGCGTGGCGTTAAGGGCGCGGGGAGATACGCAGTGTTACCTCTTCGAAAACCCAGAACGCCTGCATATCTCAGTTTTCTCAAGTCTATGTACACCCGTACGAAACTACCATCGCGAATTAATCGTCCGCAGGCGGTCGCTTGTGTACAACCGAAGTGTCTGAACAGAAAAGCGGTCTGCGATTTTTCTAACGATCCTTCTGTGTATCATCGAGATCGGTGAGCTTCAAGCAGGATTTTTTTAAGCTGCTGTGCGGTCCGATCTTGAAACGCTTCAAGCCCACAGCAGTAACGGCGAACAGCGCCTGTCTGTGTGAGTGTGTGGGGCCGCGAACTTCAGCGCAGCTGATCCCTTACATGTCCTACTCGTCGCCATAATCGATTTGAATACCTGGGGTCATGTATATAAGTCTTACCATAAGCAAAGGTGCTTGAAGAGTCAAAAACCCTGCCTGTACCTCACCGATCTCGATGATAGAAGGATCGTTTGGAAAATCGCGGACCGCTAGTCTGCATTGTATCACAAGGGCTACAATCTCAGATGCTATTATATTTAATATTGTACACGAGCGACCGCTGCGGACGGTTAATTTGCGATGGTAGTTTCGTACCGGAACGACACTTTCGAAAAAGTGAGATATACAGGCGTTTCCTGGATTTTTGAAGAGGACACACTGCGTACGCCCCCGCGCCCTTAAAAGGGAGTGGCTGCATGTGCAAATGTAGAGCACCCAGAAGGGTGCCCGTGTATCATCACGGCACCCCAATAGTACCACCGGTAGTCTCTACCATCTGTGTAACACAAGAACGACGGCAGACATCTCCAACCAATATCCGTATACCCACGAACACCCTCCCTTGTTCTTCACGCAAGTGACTAGCGATCAGTGGGGCATATGTATTAACCGTGATAAATCAATAGACCGCCAATGCGGTGGTCGAAGGGAAACCCGGTGCCCGGGCAAAGCCCCTTCGAAAAACCCCATCCAAAACAAAACGGTCGCTACCACAGCGGATTTCAACGGCCGCACTTATTAGACAGGCCAAGACAAAGACAAGAGTACCAGAGATCGCAAGAAACTACGTTCCCCCGGACAAAGGCCTCCCAATGCCCCCTACTCCTACCATAGGTACACCGACCGCGACCGTACAATTGTACGCGAGATGGCATTGTCTTTCCACCCATGACATACATGAACTTTCCCAAGTGATAAAGCTGCTACAGCTACTCCGGCAAATTCATCACCTTGCGCCGGTGGTACTGCAGACTGTCCCTGCCAAGGGCCTTTGTGAGCAGATCGGCGTGCTGCTCCGACGTCGACACAACTTTGTCGAGATATCCCCCAACCTGAACAACCCACGAATGAAGTGGTATCGAATGTCAATGTGCTTACTGCGAGCTGAGCTTAGGGGGTTCTGCACCAAAGCCATGCCCCCTTTGGTTGTCCTCAACGACCTGGATGCTGCTGCCACTGGTTTCTTGGACAACAACGAAAGCATTGCACGCACGAACAAAGCCTCCTTCACACCCTCTCCGGCAGCTATATACTCGGCTTCGGCCGAAGACACAGACACGATGCTCTGCGTCTTGCTACCATGACTGATTACGGTACCTCCAACCGTCGTCGCCATCCCTGACACCGAACGCCTATCCTCCGCGTCGGCGCAGCTGGCGTCTACGTATACCACCAGCCCTAACCCCGATCCCCGCTGGTAAGTGATGCCGAGGACCCCTCGTCCCTTTCAGGTAGCCGAGGATTTTCATGATGGCCTTCCAGTGCCTCTCGGTTGGCGCGCGCTACCGCACGCATGGCGAACGAAACGTCCGGGAGCGAGAACGTCGACACCCACATCATGCTGCCGATGCACCTGCCACCCCCCTCCACTCTCGTCATCTCGCTTGGGTCCTAGGTCGGCACCAGGGGAAAAGCAGGGATGGGCGAGGGCGATTGTACATCAAAGCGATTCACCATGCTGTCAATGTACGTGGTTTGGGAGATTTTAGGAGTCCCAGCCTCTACGGTCTTTCTCAATGGCACACCCGTCAAACCACACGCACTCTCCATGGTCTTTGGGAATGTGTTGTTGAGAGAAGGGTCCAACTCCTCGCAATCCTCATCAGACCCAGCCACCAAAATGGCATCCATGTATATGACGATAGTTATCACCACGACTTCGTCTACCATCTTGCGGAAAACACACCGATCCGCCTTGCGCTGCTCGAACCCGTTCTCGGGTAACTTATCGGCAGCATGGTACCTACACATACCACGTTGGACGAGGAAGTGTAGATGAGGCTCACCGCTGGGGGCGGGGAAAAATCGCGTAACATCGTCAAGGCTGAGCGTGCTGTGTACGGTTTGAACCACTGCAATGAACCACTGCCTGGCAGTGGTTCAAACCGTAAATAACACGCTCAGCCTTCACGATGTTGTGCGATTTTCCCCCGCACCCAGCGGGGAGCCTCGCGTACACTTCTTCATCCAACGTGGCATGTGTGCATGCCTGTTTTACGTTCCCGTGGTTGAGGTTCATACCCCCTCTAGCCCTTGCGCCACGCGAAGTACCGACGCGAGCATCCAGCGGGTGAATTCCTCCGTGCTGTTGATGGGCAAGCTCGCCACCGAGGCGCAGGGCCTCCGTACTCGTCGGCGAAGGTGGCGACTCGTACATCGGGTTTCGGCGAGGGTTCTCCCTGGTGCGGCAGCTGGTGAGTTCCGCCGGCTCGTCAAAGCGGAAGAGACTCCGGGCCTCTGGCCCGCGGAGCGCCAAGAGATTCGTCTCGCTGTCGCTGCTGCTGCTGCTGCTGCTGTTGCTGCCGCTGCTGCCGCTGTCGCTGTTACTGTCGCTGCCGCTGCCGCCGCTAACCGAGGGGCGCCATCGCCTGTGTAACCCGCTCCGGACTCCTGGGGCGTGGCCGGCGGCGCCGCCGGTGCATCGCGCCCGGGCCGGGCCGCGCGGCTGCCGTCGTATCAAGGTTGAAACCTGGTCCTCCATACACAGGTTCTCCCTCCGCCCCCCCTCCACCTTGGCATGGCGCACCCTCTATTCCCTCGTGCTCCCCGGTTGTGAGCGTCACTTCCTCCCCTGTGGTGGGAGGCAGTGGCTGGGGGTGCGCGGTCGGGACGGCGGGCACGGGTTGCCAGATGAAGTTGCGAGTAGTGATCGCTTGGTGTTTTTCGGTCAGGATGCGTACGCAGTCACGGTTGTGGTTGACCCCAGGGCCGAAGTAGTAACACTTTTGGGCTTTCGGCTCTGACTTGTACGTGCGCTTGACCTTGCATACGGCGGGTTTGAGAAACGGGTACGTCACCCCTGGCGAAGGGGGGTGCCCGTGCCACATTTCAAGCGGCGATTTCTTCTCCGGGGTGGATGTGGTGAAGGTGCAGCACAGGGCGTTGCATGCCCAAGCTAAGGCCTCGGCCCAAAGGGAGGGGTAATTCGGCGCTCCGGGGTAAAGAATCGGCGCTTGGATACGGGCGGGTAGTGTTGCATCCTTGATCAGACCCAGTGCTCTCTCAGCTACAGAGCTGTACTCTGGGCTGTGTGCGGAGATAACTCCTTCTTGATGCAGTACTTGCGGCACAGCTTTCAGAACTCTCTCTCGCAAAACTCTCCTCCGTTGTCAGATCTCACGACCATGAACTCGGACGGGGCGCCGCCTCCCCGGTTTTCTGCTAGATACCTCTCTGATGCCTCTGCAGCGTCTGACTTCATGTTCAACACGTCCTCCAGCTCCCTGCCAAGAGTAGCAGATGTAAATCATGCTCACATTAGCACGAGTCATTTGCACGGTCTGACAGAGTGCACACGTGTTTTGTCGGCAAACACAGAACCGTTGAATCGCGGCATCGGTGGAGCTACCCGGCGGGCTTCGCGTAGAGAGCAGTGATGAAAGTACAATTGCAGTTTACTGCTTTGGGCCGGGGGTCCGCAGGACTGCATGAGTTTTACTCTCCCAACCGGCGTTGAACTATTTATCACTTATGCAACCCGAGCGCATTTTGAGGCCGACAACGATACGGATGTTTCGTGTTCCGATGACGACATACACTCTCATCCAAAGCAGCTTACATCGGGCCCAAACGGTTCGTTTTCTTGCAATTTCTATTCGGCAATATGCAGGCCGTTCTGCTGAGAGGGCGGAGGAGACAACACAGCGCCGATGGGAAAGAATAACCTATGTTGCGTTCCCAAAACTGAAAATTATAAATACTCCCTAAACGAAATGGTAGAACACACCCACCCACCAAACATACCATTGTAAATTGTAATCTACTGGTGTGTGTGCTATTCTGTGGGGCACACCTGACGTCGAGGTTCAGTCGAACTGGGGATCATCCTTGTTGAGCTTGCCGGTGGCTGGGGCCAAGTGGAAGAAACGGCCGTAGAACAGGATGAACAGGTCTCGAGGCATGTGGGCCCGGACCAGGGGGTAGTTGTCGTGGGCTCCGATGCCCCGGTGATCGTCCCAGTTCGACTGAACCTCCACGCCAGGTGTGCCCCATAGAATAGCACACACACCAGTAGATGACAATTGCATGTATGTATGAGGCGTACTCTCGAGATCCGTCCGCCATCTTCTTCGAGGGAACCTCCTGAAAGACACCCCAGTCCCGGACCAGGAGGTGGTTGACCTTCCTGGAAAATGTCAACAACAAACACCTATGGGGAGGGGTATCATAGAGGATAACCTAACGATGCACCTGAAAGAACTGAGTCGTACAACAGCACCGAAAAACACATGGCACAAGGCAGCCTCAGATTGTACGTTTGGTCAGAGTACCACAGAGACAGATGACAATTTCGCCTAGAGCAATTAGCGACTCCAAAACTTCGCATTGGTCAGCCGGCTAGCGCGGTCGATGATACTGCTGTGAACCAAACACCTACATGAGAAACATGTGTATGGTTATCGAACAAAGACAAAGCGGCACCAATGTGTACTCACGGCGTTTTATCGTTTTGTCATGCAGGGATACTTTTCTAGGAATATGCGCCAGCGCTCGAATTTAGGCGAAACTCTACCTGCCTCACGTTTATTTTTGGAGACTTCTGTCGCTTGAGGTGCCACACACTCTCCTGTGCCCTCTTGAAGCCGTCATGAGCGATTTTCGCTGCCTGGGCGTAGTGCACGCCCTTGGACTGTGGTACATATGCGAAGATCCGCACGAGGAATCTGCAGTTCGTCCACGCCACAACCCAACTCGTTGTCCGAATCATAGTTGGCTGCCCCACCGGTGCTCCCCACTCTAAGAGCTGCGCCAGATGCCGTCATGGTGCTTGCGAAGTCCTGCCGTCCTACCTCCAACCTTGTTGCCGCACTTTTGGCCTTTGTTCCGGCCGCGGGCTAAGATAGCGACATTTACGGCAGAGTTGGCCGGAGAAGGATCCGGTGGGGCTGGTTGCTGCTGCTGTTCCTGCTGCTGTTGCTGCTCCTGCGACTCACGCGAGGTCGAGGTCGTCCGGAGCTGCTGCGTGACCGGTCGGGCCGGCGTCCGCTGTTGTGCTCGCTGTTGCCGATTGCGCCCCGGGTGTTGTCACTAGCGTCATGCGAGTTCGAGTTATTGGCCGGAGCAGGCTCCGGTGGGTATCGTTCCTGCTGCCCTGTTGCCGTTGCCGCTGCCTCTGCCGCTGTTGCGGCTCACGCGATGCCGTCTGGACCGGCGGCGTGACCGGTGATGTCGGGGTCGGATGTTGTCGTTGCTGCCGAGCTGCCCCCCGCATATTGAGACCAGTGTTGTGCGAGTTCGCACCACATCGCGGCCTGTACATTGGGCCCATATCAAACATGCCATCGTCATCCTCATCATCATCATCACTAGCCTCATAGGGGTCGAAATCTGATGTACAAACAGGAATGCCAACGACGCCTCCCAGATAGACAGGGCAGACCACTCGGGGCGTAGAGGCCTCCCCATGAGCTCTTGTGTTTGTGTGTGGCGGGGAGCTGGTGGCGGGCGCTCGCTAGCTTGCTGTGCTGTTCAACTTGTTGCGTGTGCGGTTCGGTGCTTTTCCCTATCCTCCCCTCTACGACGAGACCGTCTGGTCGAGGCTTTCTAGAATATAATTAATGATAAAAACGATGGGGTTGGGGACTGGACCAGTAGGTACTGACAGTATTCCTGTACTGGACAGTTTCCTAGGACTAGTTCAGAGGGGTGCCAGTACACCCAGTACTGACGCATGTTACGTACGTCCCGCATTATGCCTCCTAAACCACATGGAAACCCACCATTGCGCCGCATGAGGGGGTGAGAGAGTAGCGCAAGGACGAAGCACAGAACCCGCCTCGGCCTCGAAAAAAAAAAACAGCCGGGCCTTCTTGACTCATCATGTAGAACGGCCATAATTTAGTATGCATAAAGTCAATCTGTTTTTTTGTTTTTTTCTCCCCAGCAAAAGATGCAGGCTGGCCACCAGCAGCGTGATCTTAACTAAATGCCTTCCAGTTTTGCTGCTATATTGCTGAAAAAAATACCCAAACCAAAAACTAAACACGAAGCACACAAATTTGTTGAAGAAAAATGAGCACCATCTTGATGAAAAATGAGAACCATCTTGGAAGGCTTTCAAGTTGGAGATGGTTTGGAAGCAGCTTCATGGTGAACATGTTAAATTCGATGTGTGTGTCACACCCAACCGAAGCTACATGCTAAATCCGATGCGTGTTGTCACACCCAACCAACGCTTCAAGAAAAAATTGCCAACATATTGATCGTTCTTCAAGGATTTCAAGGATTTAATCCCTGACTCTGGTGTCGTCAAAGTGACCCAAAATCACCCAAAATAAATGTTCTAGTGAAGCCAAATCGCGTTAAAACGCGCCTCCGGCGGGGCCCCCTCACCAGCCGGGGGGGGACGGTGGTCGCGGCTGCACCGCGACCACGCGGCTTCGCCGCGTGGCCATTGTACTGATAATGTCCTGGTTACTTGGCTGCGGCACGCAGCCAGTATTCCTGAGACTGGCGCTGGAGCGCCAGTCCCCGACCCTATGAAACGATCTATCAACCATATGTCCGAGCGCCTGTAGACTCAACAGGGTTAACTCCAGGAGATGAGACAACGCCCGTACCAGGGCGTGGCGTTGAAAGGGAGCGGTTGCATGCAGCACACCAAGCAGGAAAGGTCCCCGTGTATCATCACGGCACCCCCTACACTAGTCTCTACCACCTGTGTAACGCAAAAACGCACGGCAGACTATCCAACCACCATCCGTATGCCCACGAGCAGGTGTGGCCATGCGGGGTGTACCAAGCGATCTTCCTACGGCGCACCGGGTAGCAAGAAGCCCCAGTTCTGCCTCCATCACGCGAAAAAGACGATGATCGATGTCGTTAGCAAGAGGTGCGCGCACAGCGGTTGCAACAAGTGGCCGTCGTACGGCATGCCCCCCTCCAAAAAGGCCGAGTTCTGTGCAAACCATGCGAGGCCGGGGATGGTGGGCGTGTGCAACAAGCGCTGCGCTCACCCCGGTTGTACGAAGCAGCCAAAATACGGTGTCGCCGGCAGCAAGAAGCGGGAGTTCTGTGCGCCACATGCAAAGGGAGGGATGGTCGACGTGTACAACAAGAGGTGCGGCTTTCAGGGCTGCACGAAGGGGCCATCGTACGGCGTGGCCGGCTCCAAGAAGCGGGAGTTCTGTGCGCAGCATGCGAAAGAAGGTATGGTGAACGTCTGCAGCCGGAAGAGAGCGAGAGATCTGAGGGATGCGCGCCTCGCCGTCGAGGCGGCCGCTTCTGCCCGCCCCAAGCTAGACTTGCAGCAGCAGGCAGGGGGAGACTCCGACGTGAACGGCGGGGTGTACAGCGTCGCCGACTCCTCCACCAACTACTCGAGGACCTTCTGCGGATCAGGAACTGGCGGGCGCATGGGCGGTGACAACGGCAGCGGGGGAGGCACGCCGTTCCAGCGGCAAGGTCCTGGCGGCATATCCTTCCTCAGCGACACCCACCCCGTAGCTGGAGGTACGGGGAGCTTCGACCGGCACCTCTACTCCCCAATGGTCACCCATAGATTTGCCGGGTCCATGATAGGGCAGGGCACCACCGCCGCCGGCGGCGGCGGGGGGGCACTCGGCGGCAACATGTTCGAACCACATGGCGGTGCGGGCGCGACTACCTCTTCGATCAGCAGCGGGGACCCTCACGCCGGCCCGGGGGGCGCTCTACAGGGCGCGCTGGCGGCGGCAACAGCGATCCCGCCCGCCAACTCCGCGGAAGACGCCGCCGTGGCGGAGCTCGTGATGGGGCTCAAGAACAGGAGAACCCAGGACGGGGAAGGCGTTGATGATGGTGACGATGATGCCGCTGAGGGTGCTCCAGACGTCGCGCCTGCCAACAACGAGCGGTCGATCTAGCTGCAGTGAAGGTGCACCGCGGTTTAAGAGTTCTGCACGTTCTCTGTTCTTGCACGCGAACACATGAAACTGCTGAGTGGTACATGTAGAAAGGACGGAGAAAAAAATATATCACTAAACGTTTAAATTGTATCAACAGCACCATCGTTTCTTGTTGTTGTTGTGTTCCAGCAGCACTCTCGTTTGTTGATGTTGGTGTTGTTTTTATTTTCCGCTTTTGCTTGTTTCGTTGGCATTTGCAGCGGTTGCCCCTCGCGTACGTCTTGATTCACTCCCCTTTCCTGACGGCGAACGTTTGCGTCGTTGTAGAAACAACTTCATCACCTCGAAGCCGTCGTTGCATCTCGACGTTGAAACCCCCCTGCTACTTGTACACGTGGACACCGGTGCTGATTACCCTATGAGATGGGGGGGAATGCTCGTTTTTTTTATCTTCGTTCCCCCATCGGCGATACGCAACGTTGGGCCAAGTATCGCCTTCGCGGGTCCAAGCATCGCTTTTACCCGTGGACAAACAACATCAACCAACATTTACCCGGCCGACAGTAAGCTGAGAACAAGCGGGTTTTTCCAAATACAGTGGTGAACTGATGATGAAGATATCGAGAGGAAAATAGAAGTAACAAAAAGGAAACTCGCAAAGGGGAACGAGAACAAAACAGCGGCCAGTAAGGAGTCTCATGTGTTTCTCCCCCTCTCCCTGCTCTGCTCTGGCCTTCCACGTTGTTGCAGCTACCGCTGCAACATTTGGGACACTTGGGCCACATACCCCTGGCAAACGCTTGCGATGACCGTTCGGAGCCCGTCAACCCTACCCCTCGCGCGCGCACCTCGTGAAACACGCCCACGTGATGTCATGGAAACCTCCGAGACGATGAGACGATGGTCAGATCAACGCAACCTAAAGGGTTAGAGAAGTGGGTGTAGGAGACGGGCAGAGCGGCGATTTGAAGCATCGGTCGGTGTCATGCATTGTCCGTGTCGGGCCGCTTGCTGATTCGTCTCTCATCGAAACTCCAGGAAGGAGCTAGGTATTTGTCGGTTGGGTTTGGGCGTAAAATGAGGGGTCGCCCAATGGAAGCGAGGGGTTCTGCCCTCATTGTGAAAGATCAACGTCGTTTCCACTGAGCAGGCGATGAAAAATACAAGCATGCTCCCGAAGCGCCGTGAGGGATTCGTGGAAGGGGGCAGGGAGGATACGAATGACGGAATATAGGTTTAGGGCGGTGGGCCTTTTGGCGGGTGTGTGTGTGTAAGGGAGAGAGTGGAAGGGTCACACGACGAAAGGGCTCTACAAAAAAGCCTATTTGTTGATTCATCGAAGGAACGAAAAGACTCTTGGCAATACTTGTGTATCTTTTGGTGTGAGTGTGTCGAGGGAAAGACGCTTGTATCTCTCTCTGACGCTTGTACAGTGCATGCGGAAAAATTTTCCTCCTTGGTGGAGTTTTGAAGAGAATCACGTGGCCTCCATTTTTAGTCAGGCAAGCTCGTGGGCAAAAGTGGAGGAAGAACAAATATTTCCACCTGCAGCCACGATGGGCGGTTTCCATTTTTCGTTTTTTCGGCGGGACGACTGCAAGACGAATGCACACGTGCGCCGGGAGGGCGTCACATGCCGTACAATAGACAGGGGTGTGAGGTGGAGGGCAGAATGGTTAGAGAATTTCGACGGGCTTGGGACTTTCATAGAGTTGGGGGAAACACGCAGCAATGGCAAGCCGGACAGGTGTAGGGTTGAATGTGACACGATTCTTTGGCAGTGCTCGCTGCGTCAGTCACGGCAAACACAGCCACCGGCTGTGGTAGGATGGACTTGCACTTTCACCCTTTCAAGAACGTACGTCGATTGTATTGAGACTTGGCACATGTTTGTCGCCGGTTTACCCCAAGGAAACTGCGGAAGTGCATAGAACGCCGGCGTTCCTGATCTGAGCGATCAGCGACGCATTCCTCAAAATTTACACATTTTCCATTTTTTTAGGCTCCTGAGAGGTGAACGGTTGTGCGCGGGAATTGTCGCGCGTTGACTGATGAGGAGTAAGAAGAACGCCGGAGATTGTGTCTTTAGATGAGGTTGTAAGGGTGGAGTATAGAAGATGGAAACGTGACGTTTTGACGTTTTTCAACAGTCGGACCTTTGTAGGTCCTCGCTGAACGACGTCTGTCTCTCGGTGCCCTACAAGTACACCATGAGGAAGTGTTGTACTGTAATAGTGCGCACTCCACCATTGCTCGTCGCCGTTTAGTTTCTTGTTGTTACTGCGCAAGGAGCGTAGCGGCATGCTTAGATTGGACAGGCCGTGCATTTAGCCTGAGTAAGCAATGGGCAAACCCGGTTGGACAATGGTCTACAGGTGGAGCAGCTGCTATCCATGTTTCATGTCATAGGATTGCGAGCGGCCGGAGAATGCGCACTGCCATACGCTGCTTGGTACCCTACATGTAGCTGCTACTTGCAAAGCCCATGGATCTCAGCCGTCGTTGGTTTCGTTGAGAGTTTGATGCCATGACTGGTATTTGTGATTGGGCTGATCGGCTTCCATGGCGCCCTGGATTCCCATGGCATCCAGGTTCAAACGGGGCATACCATGTTTGTTTACCCTTTCCGTGGAGGGTTCGGCGTAGAGAAGGTGTCGGCTGTACAACAAATATATGTTCGTGACTTTGTGACGAGATTTCACGTGCTTGTATTGTTGCCTCTCACCTAGCTGGATGTATGTCACAAACCAGCACCATCTCCCACCGAACCAACAAGTAAGTCTTCGACACCAAACACATGTCACCCGGACGACACTGAGTGAGTGGTGGATGGACAGATGTTTGATTCCCGATCGATCCCCGAGCGTCTTATCATGATCATCATCAGAGGACGAGGAGACAATGAAGTATTTACTACGCAGGTCGTATGGGAAATGAATGTGTTGCCCGACCTTCCCGTGTACCACTTCCCACCAACTTCTACTAAAACGTGTAGTCTACTAATATTTTTTTTTCATCACCCAATCTGTTTTTAGACCCTCATCTTCTTCTGTCAGTCTGTTGTCCGCATTCAGGCCTCGAAAGTCAAACTCACCCCACGTCTTCACCGCACGGCAAAACAATAAATAGTTTCGGGACGTCTCCGGAGTAACACTAGTAAATAATGACCTTCCGCAGACTATGCATCACACACAATAATACATGGTATTGCATAGCATCAGTCAGCAGTGTACAGCAGTACTGCAACGTAACAACAGCGTGCTGCTTAGTTTTTGGAGTGACTACATAATAACGCGAGGGATCACCGAGAAGACGTGGTGTCATGATGTCGTTGCTGATGGGGTCCACGGCATGCAATGACACATCAGATTCACGAACGACAAGCCAACAAAGAAACCTGCCTCGGGAGGAGCGGCGTACAATATATCGGGCAAATATCTAGAAAATCTTAAGTGTGTTGGCGTAAGCGAGCTTTTCTTGCAAAGTGAGCTTTTATCTCACTTACTTCCGCTCCTGGCCTACCTAGTGGATAGCGCTAGTTCGTGTGTAGACAGAGGGAAGAGAGTGAGTGCTGAACTCTTCTCGCATTAAAAATCGGAGGCAAAGTACCGCAGGAGGGGAGGGGAGGGAGGGGCTCTTCTGTGTGACCACGGGTTGGAGTAAACGGCACTACTAGTAGTGCTGTGAGCGCTGATGATTTGAAGTGAAGACAAAAAAAAAAAAAACATCTTGCGTTCCCTCACCTCCCTATTGAACAAGCCTCCTCTACCCTTGCCGCTTTCAGGAGACGACCCACCACCCGTCAAAATAAATGCGCGTGCGTGCGTTGGTGTGTGCCGGGTGTATTAATCAAAGACAAAACTGAGCAAGACAAAATCGGAGCTTTTCTCGGGTCTTCAGGGGCAATTCGCGAAAGCAAAAGACCAGATTTCTAAAGATCCATCGGACTTCGGCGCTCGGGGGGATAAAAAAGACCAAGACAAGACCAAAATCAGATGTTCGCAAACACCGTACTCGCATGCACCACACTACTGCTGCTGTAGAAACTACTAATATTTTTATTCCGTTCGTTGCGAAAGAAAAACCAACCGAAAGGTTAGACTGCTGTAGTTGTGAGGTACTGTATGCCAAACGTTCTTCGAGTCATCACCCATTATTACGCTCAGAACGCGATCGATTATTTTCACGCATGGCGGAACCTGACTTCTTGTTGTCCTCGACCAGCAGGCGGAGTGGTTTCTCTACAGGGCTGGGTATGTAGCATGTGGGTTACCACAAACGGTAGCCGGTATGTATCCGGTTGGTTGGATATCCCGTGTTTCCCAGTGAACTGAATCTACTTCCCTTCTAAAAAAAATCAAGACGATATCATGACGTCACGAATTCAAAGCAAAGTCGCAGATCTTCGAAAACAAAACGCGGCCACGTCGTTTCATTGGTCAATCTCGACGTGGTCGACCCGAACTGATTTCTCCCCCGTGCGACGCAGCAGTGGTAGGACACGCATCCGTTGCCAGTTGCCACAAACCTTGTCCCAGGAGGGAAACAGAGCATCGTGACAGCTTCTAGCGAGCAGTATCACCTCACAGCGGGATCATCGCGCTTGTGGTGCGGCATCAGCGAAGGAAAAGGACTGATTCAGCTGCATCTTTTGGCTCGCGCTTTTCGGAGATCAGGCACAAACCATCTCATAAAAGGACTGCCAGTGGGAGCCGGGAGTAGAGAGTAGAGAGAGAGCGAGCTGAGAGAGAGAGAGAACCCTACATGTGCACCCACACGCGGGAAATGGGAGAGGTGCTGCTGTGCGCGACGGGAGAGGAGGTGAGACGGCACGGACGTGCTCTTGCCTTCATGCAGTAGAGACAGAGAGGAACCAAGAGATTTCGTTGCAAGATTGTGGAGTTGCATCTTGTTTGTTTTCGACGCGTCACGACGAGGGTCGCGAAACCATCTGCCGAGCGGCAACGTACATGCGTATTTGTTGTGCACAGCATCTTGAGGTAGCACTGGGTCGAGGTGCGTCTTCTAATCTATCATCCAAACCTAGAACATGTACGGGCCATGCTGCTGTGCTGCCGCAAGAGCTCGTCGCGAACACAGCCTGAGGGACGTGTGCCCTCGTTCGGCGTGCTTTTTCTGGTTGCAGCAGGACGAGACCAAAGCAAGACGTCCCAGCATTGGCGACGGAAGCCAAACGACCATCTCGAGCTCACCCGTGTACTCGCCGACCACTAGCGAGGCTATCAACGACGTCGTCGACGACAACGAATCGGAGGACAACTTGCGCTCCACCTTCACGAATGGCACAAACGCCCTGGCTGCAAGCAGCAGCAGCGGCAGCAGCAACATGGACGAGCGAATAGCAAGGGGGAGGCCGGCAGGACATGAACCACAACAACGGCAACAGGCATCTCCGGCAAGAACCCAACAGCAGCGAGCGCACGCCTTGTTCGCCGACCTGGGGCTGTGGGAGCGCATCGGCCAGTGCCAGGATGGCGAGAGCGGGTCGGACTTCTGGAACGGTGACGTCGCTGCTGCAGAGGGACACCTGTCGCTGATGATCTCCAAGCACGCCGAGCGCGACCCCCTCTCTTACACCCACTTGGGCTTGAGCAGGGCAGCGAAGAACGGCCGGATGGACGTCGTGCGGTGGCTGCACGACTACACCGACGTGCCGCAGATACCGAGCGCGATGGACTCTGCCGCGGCCGGCGGGCACCTTGAGGTGAGGGAGAGAGAGAGATAGACCGTACCGGACCCGAATTTGTTGGTAGCCCGCACACACCACGATGGCAAATGTTCAGAGCACAGGCACCGGCGGGCGAGCGCTCTGATAATTAATTAGGTAGTCTATGCATAGTCCAGGCCTGCAAATGTGGTAACCTGGCTGTCGTGCATGTTGGTACATTGGAGACTAGACCTGGATGCAGTTTCTCCTCAAGGGGGCTGCTGCTGTCCTTTTCGGGAGGAAACGAGTCTGCAGCAGTATATTTTTCCAAAAACCGCTTTGGTTGGCTCCTTCCATGCGATGACTTATGTTTTCGTCGCAACAGCAGTATTTAGTACTGTCATGTAAAGGATGTGGCCGGCCTCATGCCGGGCACTCGGCTCTCCAACTCGAGAGTAGTATAATACTAGGCAACTTGAGTGTTCCACCTGTGCCAACTATCTGCATTGGCTTTGTGCCGGGCGTCCTGTCTAGCACAGGAGGGACTATTTCTACCTGTACTAGACTGCCCTCATCACGATACCTTGTTTCTCTTCTAGAAGACATCAGTGCCAGATTTGCGCGGACGCGATCATTCGTCGATTACACTTCTTTCCTATTATAGCCATGTGCACGAACCGCGTGACAAATGTTATCAAGACATTCGGCGTAAGTGATGCATCTAGAGCAGGTTGCAACAGAAGAGCACTGGTTGCATCACGGTACCGTCAATACACAGCAAGAGGAGAAGAGGAAAAGCCGAACCCCAACCCACACCCACACCCAAGCGCGGCTTTTTACGTCCTACGTGTAACTCTCTGGGTTCCAATTATTTCGACGACATCTGAAATAAAAACAAGGAGGAGATATCGCTGAATGCTGCTCAGGAAATCGTAGAAATACAGGTAGCTTCCGCTGACACCATGGATTCATGGCTGATCTATCTTAAGACCCGTTTCTACACTGCTGTAACATCTGTTGTATTTTTTCGTTTTCTTCTGGTATAGTATTTACGGGGTTTTCTATTCTACCGAAAAAAGAAAAAAGAGGCCGTGAAGGCTGCTGGAGAATAGCGGGACATTGGGGGGTGCCACTGCTATGCCGTAGGTTTGGTACTGTTAAGGTGAAAGTTAGCCGGCGCAGTCGTGACGGGGATAGAGTCCTGCTCTACCCTTGACGAACGCAGGCGGGATGATCCTCAACCCTCCCGGGCTTGTGCACCTATAGTCATAGCATACCTACATATTTGCCTTTGATATTTCTTCCCCGAGTTCGCTCTAGGTGGTTGTGTGTTTGCCCGCGATTGCCGACGACTTCCAATGGTCTGCTACATTATGAATTCAATTGACTCCCCAAGTCCATGTTGCACCATCTCGGCGGAGACGCAACGTACGTACGCAAGTGCACGTATTGACGTGAGTGATTTGCTGGTGCACCTCGGTGCCAAGCCCTACAAGTCCCTCCACCCCACCACCCTCAACCTACCCCGACCCCCCTCCGTGATGGGGCAGATTGTCAAGTTCCTGGAAGAGCATCGCGGTGAGGGTAATTGTACTCGCTTCGCCATGAACGGAGCCGCGGCCGCGGGGAACATGGAGGTTGTCAAGGTGAGGAAGAAGATAATTCAGCTGGGGATACATACCCTCTGTATGGTTCGCCTACGTTATTCTACTTCTTCCTGTTACCTTCGCCCGGGTTGGTTCAACTGCAACCCCGAGATTCATCCACGTGTAACGCAGGCAGGTTGGCGATAGGTTGGGGGTGATCGGTTTTCTCGACAGAGGGCAAAGGCGAGAGATGATTTTCCCAATGGTGAAAGGGTCAAACAGCAAACACAACCGTCAGCGCTGAGAAGGGGCATAAACACGCCTCCCCCGAACAGGGGAAAAAGTAGCGAGAGTAAGCACATGAGGAATTGGGCCGTCCGCATGTTGGAGGCCCAGCGGGACCAAAAATATGAAGAAAAACGACGAAAACGCTCACTGCTGCTGCCCACACAAACGCGGACGATGAAGCGAATGCGGCAGAGTTGCCAAGTCGTACGCATTCTCCTACCGCGGCTTCTTGCAGCCGGCGTGTACGCGGCGTGCGTGGTTCCCGCGGTGGCTAACCCTTGTCTTCAGGTGCCTGTGTTCAGAGGCGAAATGTAGAACCGATTTGACGCTGCTGGTGTGCCGGCAACACCGCCAGGCGGGTGTGCTTGTTACTCTCCTTTCGCTCACGATGTTCGATCTCCCTCTCCCCTGTTGTTGTCTGTGCTGCGCTTTGTGTTGCGTCCACCCCACTCGGTGCTCTTGATGCGTGGTTGTTGGAATGATCATGGCTGGACCGACTGATAGTGGTTACACGACAATCGTACCGAGGGATGCACGGAGAAGGCGATGGACGGAGCAGCGGCGAACGGCCACCTGAAGATGGTGGAATGGTTGCATAACAACAGACAAGAGGTGCGCTATCGTTACCGTTACCGTTACCGTTACCGTTGCCGACTGCTGTCTTGTCGTTCACCCTAACCCCTCTTGCGTGAAGTCACTGCTTTCATGAGTCGTTTAGCCTCTTCCAACCAATCGGAAACTTGTCGGTACGTTATCTCTTGCCTCTGTCGAGGTAGGGGAGGGGCCCGGCGGTTGTTTACGTTCCTCTGTCGGAATGCCGTCTTCATGTTGGGTATTTTACTTGGCTCTTTATAACCATGACGGTGCCATTACCTGTTGCCGTATATTGGCGTGCCGCACTGGCCCACTTCTCTCTTTTTTTTCCACTTTTTTTTTTTATGTTGTCGACGGGTATGCACCCGCAATGGTTCCGGTTCGCCTTCGTGTGTCGACTCCTTTTCCGCCGAAACAAGATCGATTTCTTCCCCTTCAAACTAAACACTCTTGTCTTCTTCCGATTGCGTGTTACTCGTTGTCCCCGTTGTTGCTGTCCGACTTTGTTTGTGGCGACCACTTCAGGGTTGCACGACTGACGCGATGGACGGTGCGGCAGAGAACGGGTCTCTAGGGGTAGTCAAGTGGCTTCACCAGAACAGGCAGGAGGGGTGTACGGGCGACGCTCTCTTCCTCGCAGCCAAGGTAGTGAATCATCCAACACGATCGCTGCATACAACTGTGGTCATGTGCTTCTGCTGTTGTTTGTTGACGATTTTGTCGTTGTTGACGAAACACACGGAGTACGATTTCGGCACCTCTCACGCCTCCTCCCTCTCCTGTTGTCGTCGCTTATTCACGATGTTGTTGACGCAAACATGCTATCCACACTCAACGATCACGTCATTGGTAGTATAACACACGACTTTGTCACCTCTCACTCCTGGTCCCTCTTGTCTTTTTATCATCGTCGGTGGACGCGATGACGCGATCCAGACCGGCCACGCGGATGTGGTGCGGTGGCTGCTGAGACACCGCACGGAGCGGTGCCCCGCGAACCGCAGCATCATGGACTGGGTGGCCAATCACGGCCACCTCAAGGTCCTCGAGGTGCTGCACGAGGCCAGGGTAGAGGGGTGCTCCTCTCGAGCCATGAATTGGGCCGCCAAGAACGGTCATCTTGAGACTCTGATCTGGCTACACGAGAACCGCGCAGAGGTGTGTTTGTGTGTTTGTGTGTGTGTGTATGTTAAGAGCGATGTGTAAAGCCAGGGATGTGGCGAAAGTAAGTAAATTGTGAGAGCAGAGCAGAGCGTCATCGGCGAAAGCAAAAGAGGGCATATCGTCTCGAGCACGGGAAGTGGGCTATCATAGCTCCTCGTTTTTTGTGTGCCGGAAACCTCCGGTGTTCGCTTGACTTCCTCCTGTATGACTTACCCAGGCTGGGGTGTCAAACGTACGAAGTATACAGAAAGGTGTAGTTGTAGGCTGGCGCCCAGCATAGACTGGGCGACTACAAAAAGCACTCAAGAGAATACACAGCAGCATTTGTTGGTGACGTGCTCTTTAGGGTTGAAATTGCGATGGAGCTTTTCTCGGCCTCCGTCCGTTGAAAAACGGCGATGTGTGCATCCAAAAATGTGCAAGTGACCCTCACCCTAAGGAAAGAAGTTGTCATTTTAACCCTGCTCGTGGGACAAACGTGCTCGTTCGTGGTGGCATGTCTGTAACGAAATCGAAATCGGCAGGGTTGCACCCGGCCGGCGATGGACGAAGCGGCAGGGAACGGTCACCTTGAAGTCGTGCAGTGGCTCAACGCGAACCGAACGGAGGGCTGCAGCATCCGAGCGATGAACCACGCGGCGCTGAACGGGCACCTTGACGTGGTGAAGTGGCTGCACGAGACCCACGTGGGGAACTGCACGAACAACGCGATGGACAACGCCGCGAAGAACGGGCACCTCGACATCGTCAAGTTCTTGCACTTCAACAGAAAGGAGGGCTGCAGGTCTGTTTGGTACTCTCGCGGTTGCTTGTTGCGGCTTGTTGCCGTTGTTGTTGCTGCTGCTAGTTGTCGTTGGTTACCTCTGATCCCCCCTTTAACACCGTACGAACGCATCCCCCCCGAAATAATTTTGACAATTTTTTGCTGCAATTATGCATATTTCGCAGTAAGTTGTTCACTTGAAAGCCATGTTCACTTGAAAGCTATGTTTATTTCTTCTGTTGATCTTCTGCTGAAAACAGCACGAATGCCATGGATTGGGCGGCGGCGAGGGGGCACACGGAGGTTGTCTATTTCCTCATCGCCAACAGGAAAGAGGGATGCACGGGAAAGGCCTTGGATTGGAGTTCGCATGGTGGTCACGACAGCATCAGCGATAGCCTCAGAGGGGTCAAGGTTCGGGTAAGAAGCGGCTTCTTTTTCTTTTTCGTTGTCCTTTTTTTTCTTACCCGAACACAAGTAGTTGAATCTCTTCCACAGAGGAGAGTCCGGGAAACAGTCAACAAAGACAGTTTGTGGTGTCCACTTTTGTGTATCCGACTACCATGTGCTATAGCTGAGATGGTGTAGCTTTGTTCTGTTGGTGTAGTTTTGTTCTGTATGTTCACAACCTTTTTTTGGGACCAATGTTGGCGTATACCCCACTAACCCCCCCCCCCCCCCCCCCCCTACACGCCCTTTAATTTTTGCCTTTGAAACAGAACGGCCCAATAGGAGGAGGTGGAGTCGCCGGGGTTGATGGCGGAGGCTGCTGCGTAATTTCCTAAACAATATACTTACTCCCATATGGAGAAGATGGCGTGTTTGTTGCTTTTTTGTACAATAGCCTTCGAAGGAATGCGTATAACGGTGTGTGAGCGGCTGCCAAGAGGGTACGTCGTGAGCGGGTGCGAGACAGATCGTCTCGGAGACGACTTGGGACGCTTACACAAGCATGTGCTATGGACATGTTGACCTGTTCTCTTGACTGTCTTCATCCCGGCCTGTGCTCATGCCAGCCGCCCTGACCGGAAGACTTCCTTATGCAACTGTTCCTCCGTTCCGTGGGTTGATGTTTCAGCAGCTAATTTTTTTTGTAGTGGCATGGTAGCAAATTATGCTGTCGTTTTTTTTTCTTCGCGCAACGAGCTGGTCGATGATTTGGCGATCGAAGGGAAAGGGCTGCAGTTCCTTTCCCCCGCCCTTCCTTTCCTCATGAAGGGGTGGGTGAAGCCAAATCATTCATGACTGAAGCATCAGTGTTGCCAATGTTTGGGTTTTGAAGGCGTGCGATTCTCCTCCCAGGGGCACTGCGTAGCATCATCGAGAGTGAGCAAAGAACGACACTTGTTCGAGATGCACCCGCACGCCCCGGTTGTTGTAGTTTTCATGTTTTCGTTGTTCTGGAAAAGCGGGACCCTGAATTGCCGGTTCGGCTGACGGGGAAAACTATATATTTCATTGATGTGGAACAGCGGGAGGGACCCTGAATCGCCGGTTCGGCTGACGGGGAAAGTTATCCCCATTATATGTTATGCATACGTCATGGACGAGACTGTCGTTTCTTGGTGCTGATTGGTTTGTTGCTGTTCGAAGGAGGTAACTAGCTTGGGAGGGATTTGGTTCTGTGCCGGATTGTAGCGTCACAGGCACGGCTGTGAGATCCTGAATGGGAGATTTCCGGCAACGGTGGGCGGGCGGGGAAGGAAGGTGTAGGGCTTGACGTGAGGTTGTAACAAGATGACTTGCGCCGCCATGTTGTCCGTGTTGTGCTTGTACGACGACGGTGGTAGTGGTCATGGTGGCCGGGACGGTATATGTGGCGTAAGTGTCGCGGCTAGCTGGCAAAGCACCGTGGCCTACGTGCAAGGCTTGGTCTCCCCGTGAGGTGAAGTGAGAGGGCATTGCACCCTTCCTGAATACGATAATGCATACGATGGAAAGAGGGGGGAGTGTTGATAGTATAATAGTGAGGTGATTCAGGTGGCATGTGTCGTTTTTAAAACCGTTTCCCGCTTGTCCCTTTTTTTTTATTGTTGCATTTCTTGTTTTTTGTTTTTTGTATGCATATATTCTTCAAAATATGACAGAAAAGCTCACACGTGAAACAAATGTGGAGCGTCAAGTTTGATCTTGCGGCTCACCTTTTTTTTTTCGGTTTCATCAAAGAAGCCGAACAGCGATGTTCTGGTACCACCTTGCTTGCGGAGGCGGCCTCCCATAGTTGCGAAAGTCGATTATGCACAAACATAGATACGCCTGCACTCATCGAAAGCTTTATGAGGTGTACAGGAGGCGTCAGGGCTGGGTAGTAAAAAAAGTATGGTATTGAAAGGACGGCGGGGGGCGGGAGTGTACTCATGTAGACGCATGCCGTGGCCGGTAGACCATGGACCTCGCATCCATCCCTACAATGTCGGGACGGAACGATAGGCCGGGTTTTCGCCGGCACAGCAGTATGGGGGAGAAAATGTGCTGTTTTTCGTCCGATTCCATAAAAAGTGTTGTTGTGCTTCCTTTTTCCTTTGGGCAAGGACCCCTAGGTAGGGGTAGCGCTTGTTGTCTGTGTTGACAATGGGGGAGAGGTGCCGCTCGGAAATCGAGCACTGTTTGAGTCTTGTACTTGTAGTGCTGGTCGACTTTGGGTTGATTTGAGGCGGCCGCGACAATGGTTACGCGCCGCCTCGTGAGCTCTCTCGGCAAATGTGCACGCAAGGAGGGCAGCATGCTCCCCTCACTTGGAGCGTACCCGATACGCGCGTAAGTGTCGCTTGCTGGCTGCCTGGACCATAGTGGTCTGTTTTTTGCACGTTTGTGTGGTGGTGTGTGTATGGTCTCGTCTCGTCTGTGCTGACAAGAATCCATATACACCATTCGATATTATATATATTTGACGTATCAGCCGGGGGGGCAAGAAGGGAAACACGGGGGCTATCACTTATTTCAGTACGTATTCTAGCATGTCGAGTGGTTAGCCTGGTACGGATGGGGATGTCCAACGTATGGTCTTGTAGTAGGTAGTTCATGTAGTTTGTGTGCCGAACTATTACAAGTGATTTCACATGTATTCGAAGTACGGTAGGAGTGAGTTGATGCATCGCTGCGTTACAGCCGTCGGGTGCTCCTTGTTGAATTCGCTCCTCCACCAGCGGCAGCAAATCCAACCTGTTTGCCACCACGGTCATTCATGATGGTCTCGATACACGTGCATCACGTGTGTACAGTACCGATTTTTTTTCAGGGTATAGATGCGGTTGGTGGATAGAGGGATGGATGGTAGAAAGAGCGACGAGGAGGAGGCTAGAACCACAAAGAAAGCCAACTTGTAGACGATACATTTTGGCGCCTGCATACTGTACACCCATGAGATTGTTTTTCTGTAGTACTTGACTTGGTCGCCTTGGATTTCTGGTTGAGCCTGTGGGTAAGAGTGCATCCTTCATGCACATCTGACTCTTTTTTTTTAGATTGGTTTGGCCACAATGTGCTACGTGGTGGCTAGGTGTTTACTGAGCTCGGCGACCAAAATGATGTGTATTTATTATATGTGTTTCAGAGCTACCAGATTATTCTTAATATCATGTGCATGTTTGCGAGAATCAATAAAACTGAACTTCAAAACCAATGGCGTTTCGACTCGAAACGCGCGACAACGAACGTTTTCTTTGAAAACATGTGTTCTTGCCAAAAAAAATGTAACGTGAACAAACAAACGTGCGTGCTGCCCTTGTCGTGGAAAGAGAGTTTCGACCGAACGTGCGTCGGAAGAGCAATCGATCACGAACACACGCGACGCGCGTGTAGTACGCACGTCATACCTACGTACGTGCATGCAAACGCGTCACATGCGCGTCTGCTGAGTCACGCCATGGACGATGCTGCTCTGGAAATAGTTCTTGTCATTTTCTTTCAGTGGTGTCGAGCCATGGGCGACCCGTGGCCTGTGGCTCATGTTTGTTTGCAACCTTGCGTCGATCATCAGCATTGTAGTTTCCTACACCACAGCTGGCCTTCTAACGCCGGTAGGGAGGGCAAAAAACATCTCATCACTTCCATGCCAATCAAGACCTCTTTTCATTTTCATCGTCAAATTACATTAGTTTTCACGAGAGCAAGAGCCCGACCGACACACACCGTACGTAAATGACGCTCAATCTCGGGTGAATGTTCAAAATATTATGACTTATTGCCCAAGTGTTACTGTACGTGTGTGTTGGTAATGTGCGGCAGGTACGGGTGAGGGGACTAGAAGGCGCGACCGAGCGTCATATGCATAGACTCCTGGTGAGAGCTACGCAGGGTCAACGATCAAATCAACGCACACTGGACATTGGCATCACGGCTACGGCAAGAGGAAGGATCATGGACAAGTGACGTGACACAAGACGTCATGACGCCGCCGACGCAATGATTGTTTCTCGTCAAACCAGAAAAAAAAAATGACCCACAACTAACTGATGTTATGCACACCACCATTGTTCGATGCACAGCAGGGAGGGTTGTTCTGACATGCTTGTGTCAATTGAGGGACGTAGAAACGACCCCAAGGCCGCTAACTGTTAAACCAAGTCACTCTGTGCGTGAACGCTACTGCTGCTCGGATTCGACAAAAAAATCCGCACCCCCCCCAAAAAAAAAAAACTGACTCGCACACACTGCAGGCGTCGTCGCAGAGTTGCGGGATACACCCGCCCGCCGCCCCCCCCCGACACCAAACCAACGGCACAAGCGACAGACTTCCAAAACTTAGGTCCGGGAGGTCGAAACACATCCATCCATTCATTCGCAAATGAGGGCACCAAAAACCATTTCTACAGCGTGGAATATGCATGTACTACTGCTGTGATCCGCAAGCCCGTACGCACGCTAGACTATTTGTCCAACACCTGCCCAGCTGACGTCGAGTGAACATCGAACCAAGTTATGCTACTGTAAACGCACACGTGCAAATCTTGTGTACACCGAATTCTGTTCCTCTAGAACAGCAGCTACAGTAGCTACTATACCTCTTTGGCAAAAACCGAGCACACAGAACGAAAAATCACTCGAACGATGCTAGTTGATAGCAACCCCGCGGCAGGCGTGCGACCCCACGACAATCAGCAACAACAACAATCGACACGGAGGGCTGTCTGCGGAGGGCGACAGCAAAAAACACACCAGCAACAATTCGATCAGATCGACATGGGTTCCTTGGTCTTTCTGCCTTGACAACAACAAAACGGTCGTGTTTCTGGCGGCATGTACGTACAGTGCACATCAACCTGCTTCAAGCGCGTCCCAAGTCTACAGCCCACTTACTTCCGATTTGGCAAGGTTGAACTCAGGATGGCAACACACAGATCCAGGCCTCTCAAAAGCAAATACCAGTATCTTGGCATTGAAACTTAGCGAAAGGTCATTGGCACGCGAAGAGGTCGAAATCATCCAAGAGAAATGTGACCATCAATCGCACAAAAGTAGGGCGTTGCCGCGCAAAAGTAGGCGTGACTATATCCACGCCAGCTGGAATGAGACTCCTCTTCTCTGTTACCCGTTTATGCTTGCCACTAAAGTACCCCATGCGTTGTTGGACTTGAACAACTCCAACGCAAGGTGCGATCCCAACAACGGGGTGATCGTGCATTCTTCTCTGCCTGGGTGTGCGGGCACTGCTAGCGTATGCTTCTTAATGGCGGCGCTTACCCCCCCCCCCCCTTTTGAGCACAAGAAAAATGTTCCCAGCCGAAAGACTAGACCTCAAGAAAACAAAAAAGTGAAAAAAAAAGAAGTAATTTACCTGCCACACTAGCTAGGCAATTATTCGTAGAGGACAACATATGACACACAGCAGTACTACTTTCCTGAAAAAAAAATGCGGCGATGCTTTTTCTTCACAATGTGAAACCAACCGTGGCAAATGATGCGTCACAAGTAGTGCGCTAACGATGCCCCCGGGTCCCCGTTCGCCGCAGCCTCCAGGTCTTCGTCATCCATCGCTTGCTGAGAGACATGACGCAACGATACCAGGAAGCCGGGCGTCAGCTAGAGTCAGTTGGTTATTTTTTTTTTTTTTGTCTTCACCCTCACAGCACTAGTGCCGTTTACTCCAACCCGTGGTTAACGGGATTTGAAAATCATACTGCACTCCCCAGGCAAATAACGAGGAACAGCAAACTGAGGACACAGGCTACCGTCAGAGACAGAAGCCGGTGTCGTTGGAGTATTTCTTCCACTGCAAAGGGTGGCTATTTCCTTTCGTGAGATGTAATGAGGAGAGACGTAGAGAAAAAGAGAGGGTGGCCTCCAGAGGGCAGGGGGAGGAGAGTCCAAGACTCTCCGCCTCCGCTCTCGGCAAGCGGCCAAGGACTTCGGAACAGGCACATCTCAAAAGGCGCATTTCTTGTCACTTCTCTAGATGGCGAGTTACTCCGATGGATCGTATCTTCCTATACTGTGTATGTGCACAAATGGTTGGTTATATTCCCGACATATGCCCTCCACACAACAGAAATAAACGACACATCGGGAAAATACAGGGAACCAAAAAAAAAATGTTGGCCACGACTGCTGCCCATCAAACCAAAAACGCGTCAATGCACAGGGTGTACAATAAAGGGCGCCCTCACCTGATAAGACGAAAATTTGTTCCCATTCCCGTGAAGCCCCGCTCGGGTGGGTACTGGAGGGGGACACGACGCGGGAACACCGGCGGCAACGTCATCCACCCACCATCCGTGCACCAAGAGCAACATCAACAGAAAGTCACGGCAGGTCATCACAATTAGCGAAACTGTTTGTGACCTCGATCGCTCTGCAGCAGAGTCAGTGGGGGTGCCGCAAATTGCGGCGCTGATTCCGTCTCGTCGAGATCTTTCCGAAAACGCATCTTTCGATTTTGGTGCCCTCTTTGTTGTCGTGGAGCATTCGAGCTTTCAAAATTCGTCCAGGGGGTGTGGTACCTTATGCAACCTACGGTATAGCGGCGACAAGCCAGCAACGGTAGTCAGCAGCAGAGTTGGGCAGCCCAAACGTTAACGTTAGCCCGAAGGCAGCAGTAGCACCTGAAGAGGGAATGGAGCTGTTCCATGCGCAAGTTTTCGGGAGCGGAAACGAAACGACGGCAAAGCTTTGAACCAGGCTTTCCAGCCGAGCAGAGCTGACACACTGATCCCCATTCTTACCGTCACAACAGGGGTCAGTGTCCTCACACAGGAACCCTCTCCTCAACCGCTTGCCGAAAACAGTACCCTGGTATAAATTTGCTGGTGCATCCCTGCCGTGTACCATACTTGGCGAAACCCTCTACGCTCGCTCACGTTGTGTGTAGTCGTGGCCCGCGGACCATGACACTTCGAGCAGCACATCTCTAGCCTTGCAACACCAGTACGTCGTGAACAGCTGCATCGCGAACAGTATCCACGCCTGCGATATACCATCCAACATCCCCGGGGGGTTGTTTCGGGGAACAGCGGGAGGCGGGGGGGGATATTCGAAACACGTTTCAGGGCGAGACGGCCTTGTCATGTCGTCTGTCTTCCTCAAGGTTACGTAATATTTCCCAGAGACAGAGAGACCCTTTACTCATTCGAGCACCACTAGCCCCCTTTGGTGCTATTAATAGAGGCATCTCAACCACGGGGTGCTCTGTTGCAAGACTCTAACCACGGTTGGATGCTCAGGCTGTATGTGCTACGTGGGTACACTGGTGTCGGACAGCGGCAGTCGCTGCTGCTAGCGCTGCTAGATAACAACAGTCATCGTGATTCCCTCATGGCGCTTACGTGCCGTGTGATGCACTGATGTAGCGGAACCTCGCTAGGAGAGAGCAAACCGAATGCCTACATCCGGCCCCTGCACTACCCCGTGTGTGCCAAGTCGTTTCGCGGGACCCCTTCTGACTTACGCCTTCTCACGGAGCCCCTTGCAGTATGGAAAATGACCATACAATAGTCGTGCCCACTAACGGCAAGGCGACACACCAACCAACAGTTGCTAGCGCGTTGGATCTCAACACCCCCAACTGGTGCAACCACTTTTGAAAACGCAACTTACCCTACAAGTACGGAACATCGAAAACACGAGCACTCACCAATATGGCTAGCGCCTTGAAGCTCATCACCCCCGACGAGTTAACATCTGTGTCCGCCTCGTCTGCTATCGCGGTTGCTAAACTTGTCTCAGACCCCTGTTCAAATCGGATCCATATTTTCACGTCGTTGTTACACCAATAACAAAAGAGAGACGCGGGGTTACTGGGGTAAACAAACCACTGGGCACATGAAAAAGACATGGGGGCACGGCAGGAAGCCGTGGAGACGATAACCCACAAGCGAGCATGAACATCGTGCGCACAGACGGTAAAAGGCCCCGAGATAGAGTAGCACAAGACATGTCCTGCACGAACTGGTGCCACACAGCAGCAGCTTGCTCCGCGCCGTGATGTAGGAACGAAGATACAGCACATGCCACGCTCTCATGAACTTCCGTGTCAAGAGACTGCTGTACGGACTAACAACAGCGGCACCAAGGACCATGAAACAAAGCAGCCACATGACGCCATGCAACACACACCAATCAGCAAGTTGAAACTTCCACCAACAACAGCAACAATTCCGATTTCGTGCAAGAGACCTAACAAGAGGGGGGAGGGGGGGGGGGGGGGGGTACTCGACTCACCCATTGAACCCCCTGGCCCAAAGCCCCCAATGTTGTGAACGTGCTGCAGCCGATGAATATCCCGCTCTTGGAGAAAAGGTCACCCGGCAACGCCGTCCCAAAGAAACACAACCGGAGAGCGTTCGCATGCAGCCAGGCGGTAGGTGGGACACAGCAAGGGAGAATGTCACTGGGCAGCCGCTAAACATATGTATACTTCGAAGTACTGTGGCGAAGACACCAGCTGGTTGCCCGTAACAGTCAAACCTTCTCAACGGCACGCAACAAAAATGCAGCTGAGCGACATTAACATGATGGGCGCTCGAAGTCACTAAACCACGTAAAAAAAGCGTTCATACGGCTTGCCGCCACAGCAGTACATAGTCCGGCGATGGAATTGAATCGCATGAAACGAGGGGCGGGGCTGATGTGGATGACAGAAATATTGCAAGAGCGACAAGACTGATGCGGATACATTACAAAGCCGCGTATTGCAAGAACAGATCCTTAGTAGCGTCCCGAGAACCATGGGAGTCGGGAGACCACTAATGGGTGCACGGATCTTCCATATACCGCTTGCTGGCATCATGGTTCTTCTCTCCTTTCCATCGGAGAAATCAGCCCGCCCCCGGCAGTGGGCCTAAACGATTTTACTTCGACCCGCCTGCCACGCCGCCTGCTATGGCATGAGCCTAAATCGCCAAAAAAAAAGCAACGGCGAGAGGAAGCAAAAAGCAAGTCTCACCACCAACTCCGAGCACTGGATCCGAAGCAAATAAAGCCCGTAGCATGGCTGAATGAAAAACCAATCCGACGCCCATCCGGGTGGGTCACCGCAGGGGCAGCAACATCGCCGGGCCGCCGTTGCCAAGCGCCGAGGAGGAAGAGGTGCAGGGAGGGAGGAAGGCCGGGAGTCAAATAAAATGAAACCGCAGGCCCAAAAAAATGCTGTCTTCTGTGACTATATGTAGCGATCAGTTAAACATTGCTGCTGGAGATAGAGTTTGTACCCAAGGTGGGCCCAGCGATTCTGGGATGCGGCGGAACGTGACTCCGAAAGCACAAGCAGGTACAGTAGTTCCTCGCTCAGTTGGAGAGAGATGGGAACCGAGGTTAGGTCTTTGGAATGAGGTGCACATGGTAACGTCCGCAGGCAATTGCTCTCTCTCTCTCTCGCTGTACACACCAATGGGGACAGCCCCGTTTCGAATAGGGACACTATGGTCTGTGCGAGAATAACAAGAGCGTGTCTATCTACGCATATGACCGGTGTTGAGGCGAGGCACACGACGCAGGATGCAGAAAAACAGCAGCAGCAACAGCAGACGGGAACATACCCGAACGCGAGGATGACTTCACAAAAGCATACTTATCAAACATGGGTATGCATACGTATCTTGGAATACTCAATGTGAGTAATCAGTATTGGCTCGACATTGCGAGATATGTTACAACCAAGATATCAAGCAACAGGTCTGTACCATCAATGTACGCGTACAGCAATGTATATACATTCGACAGCACGTATTCATTTGCGCCTGTGTGCAGACACGACATGCATAGGAGGCAAACGGAAACGGAACGCTTGTACATTGTAGGACCTCCACATTCACGCAACCAATCTCAAAACAGCGCCGAAGGGGTACAGGCATGGATAAGATGGCGTCGCGACTTGGACCCCGGCGGACTGCCAACGGGTCTGTGTACAGTACATACCAGGTAGGAGGCGCCTGGGGTTCTGACAAACAAACACAAAGAACGGCAGCACGTGCTGCGACTTACGAAGGATATCCTTGCGGCACCGGCTTCTCCGGCTACTTTGTCACGGTGCTGTTGGCCAGCATACGAGGCGGACAGACATAATTCTCTTGTGCTCACGGGATGGCTGTGGAGCCCGCTGGGCATGGTGTGCGAGTGCGAAGACTGTCCCTCGCGTGGCAAAGACGTCCCCTCGCGCCGTGTGTGGTAACGTGGCGAGAGCTCGACACAACAGCAGTCGCCGTCAAGTATTAATAGTGTTGGATATCGATTCAATAATGGATTCGATACGATATCGCCCGTGAAGTGTTCGGTATCGATATCGATATCGATATTGGCGAGCGAAGCGAGCCGCTGGTAGCGAGCGAAGCGAGCCGGCGACGGCTGGTGAGGGGGCCCCGCTGGAGGCGCCGCCGGAGGCCAAAAAATTGGAGCAATTTCGCTTCATTTCCCATCAAAATTACCCGAAAATAGGCCTCCGAAACCTGCCGTCCGTGTACAGCCAACTGCTTGAAAAAACAATGTACGTGGGTAATAGTCTTATCTATCATCTACACCGAAAAATGAGAATCATATTAATCAGTTCAGTGATTCTACACTACTGCTTAAAGAAAGCTCAGCGGTATCGCACGCCGCAACAAAAAAAGCAAGCTTGCTTGTCGCAGAAAAGCCAAGCTCTCACAACAATGAGAGATAAATGGCACAATAATGAGAGATAAATGGATAGAAGCTGCAGCTACTTCGTTGAATGCGTGCATTTCACTGCGTGCAGCTGCTGTGTGCTGTGTGGTGTGCAGCTGTGGGGGTTCCGTGGAGTGTTTATCGACTTATCGTATCGATATCGAAATAATATCGAAATATCGAAAAGTTCAAATGTTTTCGATATCCGATATCGATACGATAAATCGATACGATACATCGAAAAAATCGATACGATATCCAACACTACCGTCAAGCCATCTCTTACCATCTTACTGTTGTACCTCGAGTAGACCACCTTTGGGGAACTCGGGGTTGCGGTTCGCCCAACTCGGGGGAATTGAAGGTTGATTTCTAGGCCTGCCTGTACTCCGTAGGCGATTGCCTGATATTTTCGATGTCGATTTTTGTTAATATACTGAAAATAGAGTTGAGGAAAAGTTATTTAGTGTATCTAAATCGCGGAATCGACTACGGAGTACAGGCCTATTGATTTCATCTTTGATTGAAACTAATGTGAGTCCGCTTTCTGACCCCGAGTCAGCTTGCTGGAAAATCAGGTGGGAAAACAAAAAGAGCGGGGTCTTCCCCCCCTTAACCCAATCAAACCTTCGATCATTTTTCAATAGATCTATCTAAGTGTTAGGTAAGCTATTCTGACCCCCAAGTCAGCTTGCGGGGACTTCAGGTGGAAAAACAAAAAGCGGGTTCTAGTCATTATTTTTTTATTTCATCAGTCAGTACGACCCAACGAATCCATCTCTATCTAGAAGAAAACAGTCTAAAGATAGATTGGCACTGGATCCATTTTGTAGCGTCAGCGATTCTGTTTTTCCACGATTTCCCGAGCAGCACACAACAAGTGATACCTCCCCCGTGTGGGTAACAGGGCCAACAACAAAACAGTTTGGTAGCCGTCTTGTGTATCTATCTGTATGTTATGCTGGGAAGTCATTATTCTACCCAATCAAACCTACCAGTAGACTTTTGTGGATCTTTCCGCTCTTATCTCTTTGTTGCGGTGTGAATTCTTGGCGCATAAATAAAGTGGTCCAGACGTCGAGACCCAGTCTAAAACGCTCCGTCATCCCAAGAACAGCATAATGTCATCTCTACCAAAGACTACAGACTAAAGACACACAGCAGATTCGAACACACGAGCAGACACGATGGGGGGGGGGGTACGGCTTTTGCCCCTGTCGGTGTGTTCATGCATGCCCAGCAGCCGCTGAGCAGTACGCTCACGCCCCACCCAACAAACGTTAACGTTTACAGAGCGAGCGGTCGAGAGTACATAGTGCAGAGAGTTAGGGGCACCATCCCCTATACCCAGATTAGGCAAAGTGCTGGTCAACGCCACTAAGCTGCGCCATGAACCGGGCCATGACTCCTGCCTGTCGAGCCCCTGGTCCATGTTAGTTGATGTTAGTAGAGATACATGGTTAGCTCTTTGGACGCAGGAAGCTGACGTATCGCAGCACCTGCGCATTTGACAAAAGGGACCTTGTGCGGGCCGATGATCATGATGACCGACGACTAGACTACACACACCCGAAGAAATTATTTATCTCTAAAAGGGCAAGATCGGCTTGTTGGTGGATACCATTTGTGACGATGGTGACACTCCGATCTGGAGATGCAGTAGATAAAATAAACGGACAACACACGACAGAGAGAGAAAGATAGAGGTGAAACGGGCAGCATACCTGTGCGATGAAGAGGAACGCCGACATTGCTGTGACCAAGCTCATGCCGCTGGTGACAGCGGGAGAGCTCGTGGAGCACGGATCCACGTAGCACTGGCCGGTCACATCCATAGCCGCCATCGCGAACAGGATGGAGAAGAGGAGCGTCACCCAGAAGGAGAGCGACAGCATCTGGTGCCTCCGCACGAAGCTTTCTGTCCCCGTGCCCGCCATCCCTCTGCACCTTCTCCGCTGCTGCTGCTGCGGCTAGCCTTTGGTGTCGTGATTGCTACGCTGGTTGAATTGTTGGAAAGAGCAGACGCGGCGAGGAAAGTTATTTGGTGGCAAAAGCAGTGCGATAGAACTGCTGTCCACGCCTCTTTCTTCGCACTTGGCTGCAGAGGTGAGCTGCAACAATCAACAATTCCCTTGTCTTTCATGGACATCGCTGCGTGGCTCGCCCCTCTCGAAACACAGGCATGCGCACTCGTAAGACTATGCTGCTGTTGCTGTTGCTGCTCTGCTTCACTCACAGGCAAAAACGTGACCGGAAAGATGTCTTGTGGTTGGAACCCACTTCTCGCCCCCTCGGAGTGATAGGCTGGCCCCCACGTTAGGCCTCTCGTGGCATTCACAAACGATACAGTCTACACAGGAAGCTACGGCGCGGTCGGTGACTCCATTCACGGTAGCGGCAAGCGGCGGAGAGGAGAGAGAGAGAGAGACCAAAGCGACAGCTGCGGAACAGAGAGAAAGAGCCGGAAAGACACCCACAGCAGTCCGACCACGACTCAAGCGGAAAAAAAAAAAGGTTCCAGGCGGGGTCTGCGAAGGATCTATGATATCACGGCGCCTCTAGGGCACTTCGCGGGGCATATGGCGTGTGCGTGTGCCTGCCTGCAGCCTGATCATTCCCACCACGGCACAGCTACTGCTGTGCCAGCTGCTGTGTGCCTGCGTGCCAGGAAATTCTCCAACCTCTCTGTCGACCCGAATTGGAAGACCCCAGCACACGGAGAACAGCACAGTAGTTGTTGTTGTTGTTGTTGTTGTCTGAAACGGCTTGGCTTGTGCCTCGATTCTGGCTACAACACTGGACAGGGACAAGACATGGAGCCTGAGTCCCCACGCGTGGAGCAGGTTGGCGGTATTCTCAGCAGGGGGGAGGACACAGATGGCGAGCGGACGGATGACGAGGTGGATTTCCCTCCGGAATCTTCGTATGTCAGCCAGCACCAACAAGCAGAAGGTTTGCAAAAGGAGAGAGAGAGAGAGAGAGAGAGAGAGAGAGAGAGTTGAGTGCAACAGCAATGTTTGACCATTTTTGGATTTTTGGTTGATGCAAACGCCGGCGCGGGAGTGGGTGTGTCCAGTGTCCCGTCACCTTGAGCACGACACGGGGGAGAGACGATGGAAGAGAAAGCAAACACCAACAGTACCTCTATTGGGTGCGTTACAATAGTACATAGGGAACAGATTGGAGTACATGCAGTTGGAAAATAGCATGCAAAATGGTTTGGTTGCAGACATGAACGAGTCTGCGGTGGGGAAGATGGCGGCGACGATGTACTTGTTGTACGTATGCATACGATACGATACCAGAGGGTGGTATTTGCCCGGCGCATCTCCCGGCGCTATTCAATGTACAGAATTGCTTGGTGATTCAGTCTGTGCCCAGCAATTCCACCGGCGCTACACTGAGCCACCGGCGCTAATCAATCGGTATTGTTGACGACCCCCGCCACAGCAGCAGTAGCTCTACTTCGATGATCGCGGGTCCGTGTTGCATGTACAATCCTTGATCTTCTGCAGCGGCACGCCCAATACAACCGGCACATGTGCTTATTCACATGTACGGATCATCGGAGGATCGAGCCACAATGGAGAGTTTGGCTTGAAGTGAATTGTAGAAACGCTATCGAGGGGGGGTGTATTGATCCGCTCGTTTCCAAAGCCGTTTGATACATACGCGCATGAAGAAATTGTATGATGGTTCTGTGTGCATGTGGTTACAATTTTGGTGGTGACGAACCTTGTGCATGATGCCCTGGGTATCACCAAATGCCTTTCTGCCATTTGTTCTGAGGAGGCATGCTCCATCACCTGCTTTGTGGACAACACTACATGTAGGTTGCGGGGTATGGGTGGGCATTGGAAGAAGAGGTAAAGCTTGGCTGTTGCTAGGCGTGTCGTTGGTGTGGGCAGCCCTACTTACTCAATAGGTGACAGGCAGGGAGAGGCGGAGCCAGATGAATGACTCATCGACACAGCAGTTTGCAATGTGGGGCACTTCCTGTTTGAATAAGGCGTTCGGGATGCTTGATGGAGGCAAAATTGCCATGTTCTTGCTTGACGTGGTTCTACTCAACACCACAGAAATAGAGCTAGCTGTCCATAGCAAGAAACAAGAAAACGCTATTACGGACGTACTTAAAAGCAAAAGTTTGGTACTGCTGTTGTTGGTATTGCACAACAACCAAGTCGTCGCAGTGGGCAGTGTTGGCGATTGAAAGAGATTCCTTGCTTGCCAACCTTAACCTTGACCTCGAAAGTTATGCGCGGCACATTGGTGAGGGTAGACCCAGGCGAAACCCCACCTCTACATCCACAATACATGTAGAAATGCTCGTGCACAAAGTCTTGTATCCCTTTGACTATACGACGCTTTCGAAGTTAACGTCGGATCAAGATGAATGAACACACAACCTTGAGGTCGAGGCTATGCGGTGGAACACCGGCGGGCACGTCGAAGGCTTGGAGGACTACGACGGATGTAATTTCGGGGATGACCCTTTCGGAGTTGCTTGCACGGACGGTGGTGAACGATATGTGGTATGCGTCATGTTGTGTGTGTTGTCATCATATGAATGAATATGGTGCTCATTCGCATGCCCGGCCGTTGATGACGCCCCCCTTCACCCGCCTGCCATCTAGGAAAGTTGCGATAGAACGTGGAAATGTCGTTGCTCCTTATCGAAAGCCCGCTACCCGTCCGTCACTCACCTGTCGCAAACCCACCAGACCAGGACGAGCAGCAGAAGGACAGTGCGGAAGAGTTGGAGGTGACTGGCGAGGGCACTGCGGGAGGGCCGTTTGGACTGAAGAAGGTACTCTTTGTGAGGAAAAAGAGCGAAAAGGGCGTTGGGTCGAAAGAGGTGAGTTTTTTTGTTGGCCTGGTTTTGTTGCTGTCCTATCGCGTCGGCAAAGAAAGATGTTCTTGCACTTGCAAATGGATGTACTTAAATTCCGAGAGAGAGAGAGAGAGAGAGAGAGAGACAGAGAGAGACAGAGAGACAGAGAGACAGAGAGAGAGAGGGAGAGCATGAAGTGCCATGGAATAATAACATTTCCACTGCGGCCTCCCGTGTTCATTCTTCGAGCATCGGTGTTTGTCGATGGTGATCACACCGTTACTGCTGTACTCCAAGAGGTGAATGTATTGATGGAGATAGTGGCCCCGAGGCTCTACACGATCTCTCAACACTCTTGTGCATCTGTGCGCAAAGACGAGTTCCTTGATGAGCACTTTTCTCTGCCCCCTTCATTCTGCCCAATGCCCATGACACGCCACGTGCTGCCAATTGCATCATTACCATTCAAACACCTTGCCCGCGTGACTTGTCGCACAGGAACCTTCCTTCAAGGACCGATTCAACAAGCTCGGGGCGGGGGTTGGAGAGAGGTTTGCCGCTTTCGGACACATTATCCAAGAGCACGGCAGCAAGTCCGCGGCGGCAAGTGGATCGCCGACTTCGGGAGTAGCGGAAAAGTTCTCCGCCCCGGACGCGACGAGCGAACTGGCACAGGTAGCGCCGCAGGGTGGTACCGCTTCTGCTGGCCCACCCGCCAGCGAGCACCCCCAGCAGCAGGCGATGGAGTACTTCCAAGAATACGAGGTTACCTTTACTACCAAGCCCACGTTTTCGCTCGTGGAAGGGGCGGACGGGAGGGGCGCCGTAGTATCGTGGGACACCGGTACGGCACCACCCTCTGCGGACAGCGGCGGCGCCCCTGCCCCCGTGCCGCCATCCGGTGCCGCTGTCATCGCCGTGTCCGGCGAGTCGGTAGCCGAGAAGAAGCTGGCAGATGTGCTGGAGCTCCTGGAGGCTGCCGGCAAGGACCTCGACACAGGGCGAGAAGAAGACCCGGCCAAGGATAACGGCGACAAGCTTTCCGTCGAGGTGCCTCCGGACCCGGCAGGCGGCGGCGGTGGCGGGCTGGTGGTGCGGTTCCGCGAGAAGATGAAGCCGCAGCACGAGACCGGGTCGGCCGGTGGGGAGGTCTTCCGCAACAAGATGAAGGCCATGGCGACGGGGATAGGGAACCTGTTTCAGGCAAAGGAAACGGCGGGCAGCGCCGTGAGGGACGGCTCCAACGTTTCTGCCGGAGGCGCGGGTCCGTCGGCGGCGGCGGCGGCGGCAGCGGCAGCGGTGCCCGATGCCTTCCCCCTGACGTTTTCGACGGGGAGCGAGACCGTCGAGGACTTGCCGTTTACGATGGCCGAGGTCGTCGGAGGCCTTGGGGTTATCGTCGCGGCGGTTAGGGACGACTACGCGGAGCACTTGATCGTGGCGGAGGAGGCGGGGGTCGTGTCGGCGGGGACGGCGGGTGTGGCCGCCGGCGGCGGCGGCGGCGGCGAGGAAGGGAGTGGGGGGCGGAACGATGGCCCGGAAGAGGGTTTGCTAGTTCCTGGAGCCTTGATCTTGAGAGTGGCCGGGCAGAACGTGGAGGGGAAAGGGATGGGACGGGTGAGGAAGGCTTTGGAGACGGCGGCGGTGGAGCACTCGGCGGTGAGTGAGATGTATCTGTATCTTGTTTGGAGTCGGACACTGTAGAAGCACAGGGCACAACGTTGACCTCAGGACCTTGAATACCGTAGGTGACACAAGATAACACACCCCTAATGAAATTGTACAGAAAACCACACCCGTGTGACAATTTTTTGCGTCCTGGAAAAAAGCATCGATTTATCACACGGTCACAGAAGATACCACACCCCCAAAGTTGAGCCGCAGATATATATCACGGAGCCCCCTATCACACCGGTGTGGTAGGCCGTGATCACGCACATAGCATACGCCGCAACCCTGCACTCCAGCGATGGCGACCGACAACACCGCGGAGATGAACGAAACACACAACACTGCTCAAAGTATCGCGGCTCAGACTCCAGCGGCAGCGCCACGCCCAATTACGTCATTTCTTTCTGTGGCGCCTGAGACTCCCGCAGCACCCGGTGTGCCTGCCACCGCCCGTGCTGTCGAGGCCCGCGCAGCAGAACCTACCGCTGACGCTCCCCCAACAACACCTGCTGTGGTACCGCCCGTGCTGCTGACGCCCACACGACACCCCACCCGCAACCCAGAAATCTTGTGGGAGAACTTCATGATAGGTATAACGTTATCAAACCCCATGGTTATCACGCCCCTCGTTATCGCACACGCTGTAGGTTGGGTCGTGTGGGCGGACTTCTTCCCACGGGTGACATTTTCACACCCCGTCTTTATCTCACCCCCTTGTTACCCCACCCCCTGTGGGTGGGGTCGTGTGTAGGCGCAGTTCATCCCATGGGTGACATTGTAACACCCCCTTTGTATCACACACCCCTGTTATCACACCCGCCGCGGGGTGGAATCCTCTGAGAGCGTTTATCACACGGGTCACACAAGATATCACACCCCCTACAGAGTACCACACCCGTGTGATAACTTTTGGATCTTCAAAAATGCTATCACACGGGTGTGGTACCTTGTGTCACCTACGGTATACCACACAGAAATAACGAAAGAGAGAGAGAGAACGTGGTGCCCGATGGGGTCGGTACGACACACTCACGTTACCCCCAGAGTCCCCTCAAATCAGTATGGAGTGCAGGGTACCCGAAGGAGGAACATAAACATTCACCCTTGGGTATATATAGTTCTTGGTGGAGAGTGGCATCAGTTTGCCGCAACCTTGAAAACGATCTATCTGCATCCGAAACAGTCTCTGTTCGCGTGCACTTGCAACGTTTTGCAACGTTGCGCACGTGGCATCACGTTGTACCGACACGTACGCCAAGCACTTGATGCAGTCGACTTTCAATAATAATCATAATTTTCCATCCCGGGTGTTGATTAACCCTCGGGCCTCGCGTTTCCACCGGCAACGCCCCTTTCCCCTTCCTGCACCCGTGACGTCACTCACACCAGGTGAAAATCCTCTTCCGGCGCGCGCCTCCAATCTACCGAGCGAGCGTGGCGGCCGAGCTAGCGTTAGAGCAGTCAAAGGTGCCTCAGGTGCACGTCGGCACTTGGCAACCTTTGCTCAAGCGACGCGCCGGGGTCACGATGAGCGGAGACGGAGAGAACGGCGGCGGCGGAGGCGGAGGCGGAGGCATTATCGGGCTCGGTTACGGGCGGAGAGGAGTGGGAGGGCGTCCAGGCGACCATGGCACGGGCGCACCGGTTCGTGAACGGGCTTCCGGTCGGTCGGCATCCGCGTGGACGTGCTGAGCATGCAGACCGTGGCCCTGCCGCGGAACGTCAAGTCGGCGTACGCGGGGACGTTCGAGGGCCGGCCGTCGTCCTTCCAGCAGGCGGCGCGGCTGTGGTTTTCCTTCCCGGGGGAGCGAACGGTCACCCTCCAGAGACAAGCTACCTTGGAAAAGCTGGGCCTGTTGCACGTCGAGACGAGGGGGGGGGGGGGGGCGATAGGCTCGTGGGTGACGATCACCGCGGCGGATGCGTCGCCTTGCGCGGCAGCGGGGGTGCCCGTGGGGGAGACCTCGCTGCTGACCCACGTTAACGGCTTCGACGTGTCTCCGCCCGCCTACCGATCGCTCGCTCCGCGCGCGTTCGGGGATGGGGAAGGGTGGGCGGCGGCGGTGCTGCCGGCGCTTGAGAGCGGCGGCGGTGACAGCATCACCCTCACCTTTGTCTGAGGACTGCGCTGATCTTGATATGGGGAACACGTTTTGTGGAGGTGCCGGTGCTCGGGCTGTTGTAGATGGATGATGCCTTGCACAGACAGGTTGTGTTCGGAAGGTTGTGCATGCGAGGGAACAAGATTGTGCATGCATGCATTGCATATGTACCGCCGTAGCGGTGATTGCGACTTCCAGTTCTCGTGTCGAAAGAAAAGCTGTCACACCTGCGTAGAAATTATGAGCTGTCAAAGCAAGACTTTTGTTGAACTTTTGTACTCGTCACACCCGACTTGTCGATTATTCACTGCTTCACGATATTTTGTGCGTGTGCCCTAAGTTCACCACGCCATCTGAGGTTCCACCAGTTGAGCATCTGTTTTACGGTTCACGGTACGTTTTGGGGTGGCGAGATTTGAACCCGGGTTATCTTCGAAAGCCATTAAACATGTCTTTCGTCGGCGCCAACGTTAGAAGATGGACGTCGAGATCTGACCATCGGACCATTTTTAAAGGTCGCCTCGACATCCATTGTATCGTTCGATGAACTGTTTTGACACATTTTTCTATGTTTCTTGAAGCACGTGCGCCTTGGCTGCAATGCGTTGCTTTGACGCTCACCGGGCTTGAGTTGGTCGTCGTGCTGCTGTAGTACGGTACCGTATCCTTCTGGGTCTCTGGATATTTTTTGTCTGTCTTCGAGACGTCGTTCGCTGGATGTGCCGTTGATGGGGTGTTGAGATTGTGCACGCATGTCACGCGTTGCATCACGCACGTGTCGTCGCTTGTTGCCATGCCGTCGTACAGGAAGGGAGCTCATTGAAACAAAACAACTCAATACTGTAGACCCCTGGGCAAGTTCTCGGGCCTCAGCTACGCGTGCTGGCCAGGCCTCTCTTTGCACCAAGAGCTAGCTAGCTATGTTGTGTTTGCTGGTACCTTAAGAGGCGGAGAGATGGCACCCCCTTACAGTAGACCGATTTGCAAAGCTCGATTACTCCAAATCGAAGCTTCGCCACCACCAAAAATGGTGGTTTTGGAAAAATGTCGTTGAGGGCTCTTTTCGAAGGACGTACCGGGCTATTTTCTGCACCCACTTTGTTGTGGAGCAATCGAGCTTTGGAAGTCGGTCTACGGGAGGTAGGTGTCATCTCTCCGCCTCTACGGTAATCGACATCAACTTCACCCCACGCTTACTGGAAGTGGTTGGCGCCGCGAGAGAATTTTCGGGTAACATACTAGCTTAGCTTCGTCATGGGGTGGGCGGTTGTCTCCAGGCTTGGGCACCAACTGCGCGACAAACAAAAACCAACCGTTCTTGTCACAATCTCCAATCTGACACGCGGCGGTTGGCTCAAATCAAGTTCGAAGAGGATGGGAGGTTCCAACGCGAAGAAACAACAAAAAACCGCGAAAAATGCGCTCCGCTCCTCTGCTTCGGGTATTGGTTTCCCAAGGTACGACAAGTCAGTCACCCAGCGACGACACTGAAGCCACCATAGATGGACACCAGTACGGTCTGTGTACCACGTCTGTCTACGGATGCCCCAAGAGCAACGGCGTGTTTCAGACAGCATACGTGTATAGCCCAGACACGGTGTTTTGATTTTGGTCCTAGGCGTGCAGTGCAAATCACACAAGCGACCGCGGTCGTCACAAATCATGATGGCGATGCACCTGGTACGGCACTCATGTGCAAGGCACTTGTGACCCATGTTCATCTGTAACTAGGCACCTAAACGAACGTGGTTTCGCCATGCAGGTGTTTTTTTATCGTGCTCCGTCTCTCTCTTTTCCCCGCTCCATGCACTACGGCAGCAGCTGTGCTTATACGGAGCATTATTTCTACCTGGCCAACGTCCTGGTGTACCACCAGTAACGGTATCAACACTGAGCGACAACGAGCACACAAACCGGAATTGATCGTTAGCGGCAAGAGGGCAAACGCCTTCGACGCTTTGGACCTCCATTCGCTTCGGCGAACCACGGACTACAACAATGCGCCAAAAACTCGCAACTTCTTTTCTCGTGCTGTTTCTAGACTGGTCGCGCCCTCTGGTATACATACAAGCACAGCTGTGACAATACTTTGAACAAGACAAGAACAAAAACGGACCACAATCATAAATTCGCTCAAAACTTCAAAGATATCACGCACAGCGGGGATCGCGGTGTCCCCGAGTCTAATCTTCCTCTTTTCTTTCTAGAGCAATGACCAAGGCACCTGCGGTACAACATCCCCCCGAAAGTACTATCCCGAACGAGCACTCGTGCTTTGTGATGTCACGTGGAATCTCTACACCTGTCTAAAACGTCCACGAGCTGCATCCCACACTCTCCCGCATAACCAAAAGATACTGGACCAACAAGCTCAAAGCTTCTCGAGCTTGAACATGTCCTTGAGAATCTTGAGGGTCTGCTTCTTCTCGTCAGGCCCGCCCGGCTGGCGGAGCGCCGACATGGGCCCGTGCAACATCTTGTTGACGATGCCCTGAGACAGTTTCTCCACCACCTGCAGCTCCTTGTCGGACAGATTTGGGAGCTTGTTGCCGGCCTGCGCCATGTCATGTCACACCATCAGCAGAGGGGTTGGAATACCGAGGAAATGGGACGGGTGAGTTAATCGGGTTGATCGCAACGATGACACAATCGATCGCCAAACATGGGCGGCGATTTCCAGACAGTGACGGGGAGGGTCTCGTGCAGAGAATGAGGCGTTCTGTTGGCAAGGGGTGACGTGCGTGCTGAGGGGCCACTAGTGACAGCCCAAGGGAGGTGGGTCATGCCGATCTTTTGGCCAACCATGCTTTGGTGCAAAACAATAGCCCGGGCTCGGTGACCACGTACGTAGACGGGTGGTGTGACAAGTCGAACCGCGCAAGGTGTAACTCTCGGGGGGTAGATGGCGTCCAAAACAAGGCGCCCAACAAAGGGCTCGAGAACACGACGGCAATTTACGAAACGCTCTCGTCTGTTCTTCTTACCCCGCGTTGACACCTAACACGTACCATGAGACAACACGCATTTCACCGTAGTCATTAGTCACGATTCGTCTTCCTCCGCCTTACCTTTCGCATCTCCTGCGCGCGCATGCCCTCGAACTTCTCCTGCATCTTGGAGATGGCAGGGGTCGCCGACAGGCTCTGCTGCCACCCGCTAAACTTGTTGTGCTCCTCCGACAGGATGTCCTCCGCCTCCAGCATCTCCCGGCGTCGCAGCGCGGTATTTCTCGCCACCACCATCTTCAGGTCGTCGACGTCGTACGCGAACACCCCGGGCACATCGGAGCAGTCAGCCTCCACGTTTCTCGGCACCGAGATGTCAACAAACATCACCGGGCGTTCCTTGCCCGCTTCCAGCCTCTCCAACTGCTCTTTCCCGACGATGCACCCGGTGGCGCTCGTCGATGTGAAGATGATATCCGCCTCGCCGATAGCCCGCTCCAGCTCCGTGGGGTCCTCCGCCCCTAGCCGGACATCCATCTCGATGTCGGGGAACTCCTCCATGAGCTCCGTGCACTTGGGCATGGACCGGTTGACGAGGATGACCTTCTTGATGCCGAGGGAGCCTAGGTGGACGAGCAGCAGCCGGGTCATCTTGCCGGCGCCGATGATGGCCACCGAGGAGCCAACGAGCTTCTTGCCCAGGTCCTTCTCGGCACGCATCTTGCTGAACTCGGCAGCGGCGGAGGAGATGGACACCGCGCCTGAAGGTGCCAGCGAACGAGATTAAGAGGGGTCAGAGATGATGACCATATATATGGTTTACTGCTGCCGACCAATACGATGGGCAAAAAGCTTTGTCGCGTTCACGACGACCGCAACAAATCTTGACAAGGACGACAGAGACTTGGTGCCCTTCCATCTTCACTTACATCGACGACGAAGGATCTGATAGGAATAGGCTCAAGTCTCTGTCGTCCTTGTCAAGATGTCAACATGTCTCCAGGGTCTTCGCCGATCAGTACAACAAAAGCGGGAGATACATTGCCGCTGCATTTACGAACGTGTGTGTGTTCGTCGGATCTCCGGTCTAAACATCTCCGTGTCTGTGTAATTTTGACGCTTCAGCCGGAGTTAAGGAAGGTTTCATTATTACAATTGGAAATGCTCCAGTATCCATTGGGCATACGTGACAGTCCCGACAGTTCCGAACCGACAAGGCCAGCGGTGGTCATTGGACATCTCCACGTCCTCCGAAAGCGAGGCATGTGTACGAAGAAGCTGCCAAACGATGTCTCCTTCAACACAAAAACAGCTCATCTCGGGTCGATAATAACAGAAACGAAGGACCCTGCCAACATGTCGTTGCCATAGCATCGTCGCAATCGCATGCGTGGCTGGTTGCACTACCGCTCCCACCACCTTGTCGTCAAGCGTTTTCTTCTTGTCCTCCCGCAGACGGTACGATCAGGAGGTCGTCGCTTTTACGGAAATTGGCATTTTTGATAGATTCGCAGCTCACGTTGTTGGAGACAGCCAACCTTAACATTGCTACCAGAAATTCCGTCCAAGCAACACGTACGCCGTGTCCCGCCGCCCCAAGACTCTTCTCTGTGCGCATCTTCCAACAGAAGTCCGCCTCGACACGGCCAAAATCTTTCCGGCAGACACGCTCACCCTTGCTGATGCTCGTCTCCGCCCGAGCTCGCTTCCCAGCCGAAACGGCCGTGTTTAGCATCCTCGCCACGACCTTCCCTGCTGACCCATCTTTCTCCGTGCCGTGAAGGTAGCACTGCCGGACCTGATTTCACCAACAAAAACGACAAGAAAAGAAATACCATATAAATGGTAAATGATAATGATGTACCGAGCAAACAAAATTGGATCTTGGGGTACGCAAAAGGTTGAGAATACATCTACACGTAACCTTACTGTTCGTGGTACAGCAGTGGTACAGTACTTGGGTACGATACGATATCCGATCCGGGAATTATATGTGTGTGTGTACTGTTGGACCCCCCCTCCTCCCCCTAGAGAGCGAGAGGTTCAGCTGGGGGACTGTTTTGTACTTAAGATGCTTTGAGACCTCCTGTACCATGAGAAGACGACATCGAAAGAGCGGACATGTTTCGTGGAATGTGTCAGCTGGGGGCATGTAGCATTTTGATATTGGTGTTTTGGGCTACCAGCGAAAGGGAGGGTACAGATTTGCTCATCTCTGGGCACGTTACAGCAGGGTGGCTCAAGTACAAGATACTACTTCTTTGGTATTGGTGATTCTTGGACATTGCATTGGAGGAAGGATTTGGCATGTACTCGATGAAAAGTTGGGGCGTTCGTGCATTCCGAATGCTCTTTCTTTGAGGATTTTGCGACAAACTCCTTGAAGCTGTGTATCTCGAGCAATGTCCGTTACCGTTTCGACGCTATTCTGACGTAGCGCAGATGCTTGTTTTGGTACTCTTTTTGAGTATCATTCTTTGGAGTTGACGGTTTGGAGATATTTGCAGGGGCCAATGCATTGGGTTCGTAGGTGACGGGAGACACACAGACATTTTTGCTGCATACGTGGCGCAGTTTTTGTTGAATATACGTTTCTCAAGTGGATATTTCATTTTAATAGCTCGACTTCGTGTCTGTCGTCGATTCTATATTAATTAAGGAACAATAAATACACACACAGAAAGACTACCCATTCGAGATATACCCACAGTCGAACGGGATGTTTTTATGCGAGAAGAGGGCAGCACTCCCTTCCCGATATATGTGTACACACGAACTTGTTATAGCGATTTCCACCCAGGACAGGAACGGAAGCGAGAGAAAAACTCATATCGCGAGAAAAGCTCGCTTACCTCGGGAATCGAACCCCTGACCCTGGCCAGTAGACTAAATAGACTACCGGGGCGACCGGCGTCGGAGATTATTCGAGATTATTTGCCGTGCTGTCATGCACACTGCGTTGTGAATTGCTCTCGCTCTCCTCTTTCGCCACATCCCCACCTCAGCGCTTGGGTTGAGCGCCCACATGGTCGAGAAAGAGCGCGCCTCTCTTCACCGTATTTCGAGACAAGCTCACCCTGGACAGCATCCTACTATCGTGTCGCTGCCTTACTGCTGTATGCACGCTGGAAACGCACGTACGGGGCGCTTCTTTTGTTGTGGTTGTGCCGTTGGTGGGCGACCAACACAGCCAGCTCGGAGTTTCAAGTGTACGTGTTCTGGGTATCTGGCTTGTTAATAACTAGACAACTTACAAACATAGTCACTCACAACGAGGGATCATTGTGTACTTGTAGCGTGCAAACATAACCAAGAGGTACCGTTATATTCCGACGAATCTATCGTTGCTTGCAAGTCTATTTATCAAGGACATATGACACCAGCTTGATTCTTCGGTGAGATGCCATAACATGGAAGCAGCCAACACAGGACCGCAAATTTTTGGCCATGTGTTCCGAAGCCTCCTTGAACACGAGAATGGACGTTTATCATCATGAGTCGCAAAGGTAAGGGAGTAAACATATCGAGCGAACTTTCCACCGCCGCTGCTGCTGTCAAAGAACCCACCTGCGACAAGATCTGCCCCTCTCCCACCACCAGCGAGTCCAAGCCAGCGCTAACCCTCAGCAGATGCCACACCGCGTCCTCCCTGGAGAGCATGAACAGGTTTTGCCGTAGCTCCGACTGGGAAAGGCCCGAGTACTCCTGCAGGTGTGTCATCACGTCTCGGATGGCCGCGTGGGCGTCGGTGGCGGCGACGTACACCTCGAACCGGTTGCACGTCGACAGCACCGCGGCCTCCCGGATGTTCTCGTAGCCGCACAGCTTTTGGGGTTGGTCGCCATTTTCCGCCGTAGGTTGTTGTGGGTTTCCCCAAGAGGAGAAGAACGCAGACAGATGGCGAAGAGGCAGCAGGAGGAAGGAGGGGGTTGTTCGCCAAACTTCAATGATCAAATAATGGATTCGTGTCTCGCGGTGTTGCTGCAGCTGCATTTGATCCTGCCTACACGTACACGTCCATATGTTGAGCAGCGCGTTGTTTTGCTTCGGAACCCTGCCACGGTGCCGTTGTGGGTGCCTCCGTCAAGTCTGCGCCACACATGAACTCTACACTCGTTCATAAACATGACAACGCGCATACATCCGGAGACCACTTTCTTCTGGAGAGAATGACGGGGGGACACGTCACACAAGAGACTACACCAAACAGACATGAAGATTCCATCGGAAACCGGGTATCGTCATATAGCAGTGCAATGGGCTGGTGACATCCACGCCTATCAACCGACAACGTGCTCCAAGACATGAACCGCTCGTATTCACAGTCAGGGAGAGCGGCTTGGCAACGCTGACTTCTCGTGACGCTGTGGTTGAACAAACATGCATGCTCCTGAGGGGCACAATCAAGCAGCCACCGTACGTACTATTTACGTGCAATGTACATCACCAAAGAATTGAAACGCTGCTGTTGCCGGTGTAAGTGCAACAACGCACCCTTTACAATGCTGGACCACCCACAATGTCAGTAAGCATCATGCCTACAGCAGTTCATGCAACAACAACCCGAGAGCTCTGTTACGCGTCTCCAGTCACAAAACAACACAATTTTCGAAGAGAGCGTGGAGAACAAGAGCGCGGCAGGATAGCTCGACGACGCCCCGAGAACAACACCGGGATTTCCGACACCCGTCGCAATACCGCTGTAACGCCTAAAGCACTAACACCCACACACACACACACCTTAGCGGATGCTAGGTTCCACTCCGCCTCGGGCACAGCAAGCCTCTCGCGGACGTCGACGCCGGCGTTGTGGTGCGACAGGCCGATAACGTGGACGCTGAGCGGGGTGGAGGACGCAGCAATCCTCCTTGCCTTCTTCTGGGCCTTGGTCTCCTTGGCTTCCTCCGGCTCTCCCTCCGCCGCCCGCTTGTTGCCCGGCTTTGTCTCCACCGCCGACATCCCTAACGGCTTCACGTCCACCGTGCGAGAGCGGACGACGCGGGACCTCACCCCCTCGGAGACCCACCGAGGGGCTCCGGTGTTGCCAGCGGCGATAGGTGGACTGCTCGACCTATCGCGTGCGGTTAGACTGCTCATGGTCGCTTGCTGCCCGTGCAGGGCCAACGACAGAGAGTTAAAGGGGGCCTGGAAGGCCGCCTGCAGGCGAGAGACAGGGCAACCGCCCTTGGTCATGGCTGTTGCTTCGACCGACGTGAAGAACGCGAGCAGCAGCACGAAGTGCAGGTAGAGCACCCGCACAAACGGGCATCCTGCGGATGCTGACGGCGCAGACATCTTTCTCGTTGGTACGTTCGGCACACCCAAACAAGCCAAGTGCGCGCAAGCCAAGAACTACGCTGTTCTCGCAGAGCGCCCGACACTCCTTTAGTTGACTCGACGAAAGCGAGTTCAAGGTGCTGCTGCGGAGAGCACGAGACAACGAGAAGCTGTGGACGGAGTGTTGAACACAAAATCTGACAGGAATCGAAAAGGGCGTTTCTCGGGGATGACCCCCTGCTGTCCCCCCCCCCCCCCCTCTCCACCACGATTAATTCGTAACCCCATCTCAACCGTTTGACGTCCG